CATGTGCTTGCCTCTTTTATGAGCCTAAGTACTCAACAACATGAACCTGACTGACAGGGGACACCTGTCAGTCAATTGCCAACATGCATTGACATTCAACTGCATCGTTTAATTGACTGAACGGTACAATTGAACTGAGTTCACCAAAATACATAGGAGGTGCACTTATCAGTCTTTTGTTTCTGAAAAATTACTATTAGAATAGATTTCACAGTAAATATCCCACTTCACAGCCTCAGTACTCTTGGATAGTGCTGTATATCAGAATAAAGAAATATATATTAAATACAAAAGCTTATCAACGTCACCTGGTCGCACAGAACTTAATGTATTAAAAATGTATCTTGCTTCATATGAAACTCACCACCAAGTCAGTATTTCAACAAATAAAACTCACCGTAGTATGTACTTGCAGTCATGGAAATAATCCAGAATGACAAAGAGATTGCCAGGGTCATACACAAAACTATCATATCAGTCATCATTTTGAAATATTCTTTCATCAAGATGTCATCTTCAAACTGGGGCATAGCAATTATTGTAAAGAGCACCTGAAAAAGATAAATACCCTGGGGTTAGTACAATCTGGGTCAGGTATTCTATCTCTAATTGGACCCATTGATTCAAGAACAATTTCAAATAACATTGAGGGTTTTTTTGGAGACACACAATCAATAATGGGCTTTGGATCCATCTCATTGAAATGAGTGCCCTCAGACTTGACAGGCCTGCCTTGTTTTCACACAGCCCGCAGGGAACCATTTAAATATTATATTGCATGAAGTCATCATCCGTCTATAAAAAACCCCTGTGAACATAAAAAACACTCACTTCCAAAAAAGACATTCAGTTACAATAAACTTTATGGCATATAACTTTCAACTAGGCACATATTAAGGAGAAATGGTATTGGTACAGCATCAAATTCTGTTAGATCCAATTAGTAACAGCTGGAGGTTTCTTGGTAAAGTGAGTTACTTCTTGCTCACAATGCATTTGTTATAGATAAGACTTAATTAAAACAACAATAATAATAAATCAATCAGAATTGTCTTTCATTCTACTATTATTTACTCTACATGGGATGGGCAACTACATTTCACACACAAAAACATTAGAGTACATCAGATTCTAACCAGGTTTGTTCAACACTTTACACATTAGATTTATTACCAGTTAAAATAATCTTTATAATTATCTATGGTAAGTAAACTCTTTTTAAAAAACGGAAACTGTCGCCAACACCTAAGAGAGTCCCGACTACCTAATCCCATCCTACTGTAGAAATCTGACTCTGGCCTGGGGTCATTACTTCTGACTCTGGCCTGAGGAGAATTTAAAACAGACAGTTGCTGTTGTTCGTGACACCTCAGGAATAGCATCATCAGGAACAGCCATTGGGCCATAAGTGGAACATTCACTCACAAACCCCCCATTCATGGTAATAACATAAGGTGACCATGACTGGACTATACAACCCTCTAAGGGCACTTTGAGAAATACACTTTGTGTCTCCTTCAGCATTGTTTTACAAATGGCTGTGCTGTGACTCCTTGCATCCCTACACTACCCTTGTCGGCACTGAGCCAGTTGGGCGCCACCTCTTGGCGAGCCCTGGCCTCAGTCACCTAGTGACGTGACTGAGCTCAAACTGGCAATGTCTGGGTAATACTGCCTAACTTCTGTTCATCTACTGTAAATGGTACACCTCCCAAGTTCTCAAACACAGATTCCCTGTGATCGAAGGCAAGTCAGACTTTAATATTCTTCCAAAATGCAGTCAATAATAAAACAATTTTCCTACATATACATAAAGAAACTGACTGAATAAGAAGTAACAATCATAAATTCATATTGCACATCATCAGTTTCCATGTTTATTGAATTTATTCTGTTTCTTGATGTTGTGCGCTCTTGAGATGTCAACCCCGTATTCCTCACCCAGTTTACACAAAGAAACCTTTCTTTATCATTTTTGTAACAATTCCATTTCTTTGCCACGGACAACGTCATCGCATGACTCCCCAAATCAAGTAATTACTTTCTCCGCATTAATAATTTCGTGTGAAAGAGTACTGTGAGTCTGTTGTAGCTTTAAAACCGTTGGTACAATGATACCATTGTCAGTCTTACACTGACATATTTAACACATGTAATTCGCTATCAGACAAACTATACCATTTACACGTGACAAATACAGTATCTTACAAAAGACACGTAGCTTCTTAAACTCAACTTACAGTGTAAACAAAACAGTCTATACTTTTTTGGACAATTAAAGCAATTTGGCTACGAGCGATGCGTTTTTTATTGCGGTCAAACACATCATGTACTGCAGCAGCGACAAGTGAACTTCAGGGAGGGAATTTGAGCCCCGAGTGTCTATTAAAATCGATTAACTAAGCAGAAGAAAAGTAAGTCCGAAACAACCAATTAATTATTGTGTTTACACTTTCTTAAAATGTTTCATTTTGAAATGCGACAGAAATGCAACCCATTACTGAACAAAAAGCAAAGAAGGGTGTTGAGGGAGCGTGGGGGGCAGACACATATACCGCCACACCCCCATAAGGGTGAAGAGCACCTGGTCCAAAGCGGCCTCCACATCGGTCTCAGACTAAGAAAGAACAAATTACCACCTAAATGGCGCCATGAACTGGAGTATTGCAAACTGTTTTGTCTAGTGCTTTATCTGCAACACTTATTAAAGGGAAAATGGGTAGTGTTTGCTCAAGCATGAGGCATACAGCACTACATGAGATAACAAACACACTTTATCTGCATTTCTACATTAAGATTAATGCCATCCATAGTCATGCTCCGACAAGCATTTTGGAGCAGGCATCTCCCATTCATTCGGCCGCTTTAAGAGTCAGGTACTTAGAAATCCGCCTATGAATGTTTATTGTACGTCTTCTTTCACGTTTTGCATTAATTACCTAAGTTATAAAAACACCGCTCATCCACAGAAGAGCTGCGACTGTCACCATAATAGTAATATTAATACCGAGGCCTGTATGTCAAGTAAAACAGAAATATACCTGGACTGGCCACGGCCATAGCGCTTTCTTTTTCTCGCGATCTTCATTGCGAATAAATTCAGCCTTGGCCTGATAAACGCTGGACTTCGAATACGTGTTGGATATATTTTCACTCCCAGTTTATTTGTGGAACCAAAGTTGATAAAGAAATGAACTACACTTGACGCACGGAAATACGCACACTTCCTGTGGATGCCCAGTGGTTCGCTCTTGTCAAGATGTTTCTTAAAGCTACAATGCACTTGTGATTGCGGTGATTACGGCAGGGAAAGTACGGTCTTTAACAATCCTGTAGTCTAAAGAAATCTATCGCTCAGACTGTATTCCCTGTCTGCATTGATTTGTCTTTTTTGTTGTTCATTTTCTTCAATGCCAATCAAAAACAACCTCACATCAATAGAAACGTCAGAGACTGGGTTGTAAGATTAGTCTTATTTCTTACGTTATATCATTTAGTAAAATGCAATAAATTCAGCTGGAGAAACGAGAAAGCGAAATGCGGTTAAAAGCATGAAAAATATGACGCTGATACATTGAAATAGACACATTTTCCTTTTAATTATATTAAAGCTAATCTACTTAAAATAATATCAAGTTTTCGAAGCTACTGAATTTATAACTTAAATTATAAAGTGTTTTAGCAACAATGTATAACTTGTTTTATTATAAAAAATACGTTTTTAATGTAGGTGGATTACGTTATTAATCAACCCTTGCTGACAGTTTTCCCTTCAAGTTGTTTATTATATATTAACTGTCTCGAGATTGTGATGTTCGAGACCTTAAAGTGATTCTCAGTGATTTCGTTGAGAATACGATAAAATTAAACAAAATGTAAATATATTAAATCATTTTGTGTAAAATTAACAGTATTTTTTTAAATGAAAGATTAAAGCCTAGAATTACTGTCAAGATATAAAGTACTAAGTACACGATTTTATCAGTATTATAAAATGCAAGAAAGTTTTCATATTAGTTTTCAAGATTATACAGTTAGTCTGGCCCGTTTGGTTGCTTGTACTGGTGATACAAAGATCTCATCCAGTGGCTTCTTGCGCTTAGCCAGGGTATTGGCTTCAACAAGCCGATTGTCGTCAGTTAGCTGAATTTCTTTTTAGATTTCCACAACACCTTTTTATTAAAACGTGCCTCATGTTCTGTGTTTTTACTGTTCTCTTCCCTGTAATTTACGCTTGTGCCCTGTGGTTAGTATTTCACCGTTTGTTCTGAAGATTTTTAGCATTTTTATATTGCTAATTTTATATTGAATTATATGATATTTAACAACTAGGGAAAGCCTTTCCTAGATCACGCAAAGATGAAAAAATAATGGTGTACTTACCCAAACACAAGAAAATCAAATTTTACGAATTCTTCCAACTCTTAGCAAGCTGGTACTGTGAGATGTCAAGTCCTGTAAGTTTGGTTTTAATAACGTGACATCTGGCAGCCTGAAACTAAAAACCATGTTAATTTTCAGTAAAATAATTTTACATGGTATTTAACATATTTTCATCTGTGTTGTGTGGAATTATCTGACTGTAAACTGATTACTTTTATGATACAGTTTATTCTACTATTCTAGCTTCAATTTTAATACATTTAGGTACTGGAAAGATAAAGTACTTAGATGTGTGGTTATATCTATCACACATGAACTGTGCATCTTGGAAAATACATGATCATCTGCTGGATTGAAGAAGCTGCTAGATGAAGGCTTCCAAGGCTATTTCACAAGTATCTGTCTTCAAATGACCTCACCCATCTTGCTTCTCCAAATTCAGGAATTAAAGAAGGAAAGCCCATTGTGAGTGCAAGGAATACTAATGGTTCCAAGTAGAGGAAGACTATACAGATAATAAAAATGATCCTCAGCTTTTAAAACTGCTTACACATAGAGGGGTGCCTAGCACGTCCCTAGTTATACTTAGATAAATAACCCATTAAATGTGCCATAATTGTTGTCCTGCTTTGAGCAAGATGTTGACCTGGCCTGTGTATTCCAAAACCCTGTCTAAATCCTCTTATCTTATGAACCAATGCATCAGCAGAGCAGGACCTTGGCAGATTTCATCTACAACTAAAGATTTGTCAAATTTGCACGTGGAAAGTTGAAACAGTTTTTGCACCCACAATGAGTCAAAGACACTGTGGAGAAATATACCCCATCTGTCAAAGAGGTCTTTCTTAAACAATGAATTCCAACTTACAAACTTTGTAAGTACAGTATCATCTAGCTGTGACCATACAGTTGTAAAACTCACATAGTGACCCAAACATGCAGGGATTTAGCCATCTTCGCTAGTTTTAGGACCCTTCTCTCTGCATTAGGTTCTTTGTATTCCCGGGAACTACTGTATACATTTAGCCACAGACAGGCTCAAGACATTCAGAGTACATACTGTAATTCAGGTTCAATTTCTTTTTGGTCCTCAGTAACCCAAACAACAGCCTAAAAAACAAAGCATGGGTGAGGGTGTTTTGTATTGGCTGTGAAATGGTTGTTTTATAACTTTGTATTTGTTTTGAAAAACCATGAAAATATTTATAATAACTAACAAAAAGATGGACTCCTAGGTGTTTCAACTGGTAAACCTGAGGGCAATGTGGGTCTGGATCATTCCACAGACAGACTGAGACCAGGATTCCCTGAGTGACAACAGACAACTAGATAAACACTACCGAGTACAGGATTGGGATTATCTGCACAGGATGCTTTTAGTGCTGGTGGTAAATGAATGGACACTTGCAGTATTGGTGGCAAGAGATGGCTATCCCTTGTGTGATTGCGGGGTTTGTAGCTGAGACATATGAAACACACAACAGGTCAGTACATAATAAAGATCTAATAGAAAGTTATTTGGCCAGATTCTGTAGAAATCATTGCAGTAAAAATATGACAGAATATATTTCCTGTGTACTCCAGGATGACCTTCTGATCACAATTGTGTTCTCTTGTGGATATGTGACCTGAACTGTAAACTGCTCCTGCAGCCAAAATTGGGCAAATTATTTCTAATATCTGATAAGTATCATTTCTTGTGAATGTACAATGTAAGTACTGCAATATGGTGTTTTTGTATAAACCAAGACAGTTGGTCACACTGACATTTTTTTCTGTAAAAGTGACATACTTTCAAAATAAAGATCACACAAATGAAAGAAATCTCACAACACTGGAATTTTTTGCTTCAAAGCATGGCAATGATAATGAATAATCAGTTTTCACTATTAATGTACGTCACTACAGATATGACTGTAACGTGCTCACAAAAAATAACTGAAATTCCTAAATCCCTAAACTTATTAGTGGAAAGGAGATACGGTAGTGGGCCAAATAATACATTTTAGACAATATGAAGAAACAGTGCTTTCATGAATCCAAAACATATTGACAGCTCCTGTCTCTTCACCGATGAATTCAGGGTTTCCCATTTGAAACAAAAATGCTTTAAGATACAATACTTTTTAAAGTATTCAGACTGCTTCTATAGTATCACATTTTGTAAAATGGCTAAATGTTTCAAATACATTTTTTGTAATATTTTTAAGAGATAAATCTAACACAATGCTCCCACCTTGCTTCACAATAGGAATGTTGACTAAATGATGCAGCTTCCCCCGTTTGCGTCAGATGTAACGCTTTGCATTTAGATCAGAAAGTTTCAATTTTGTCTTGTCTGATCTCTAAAACATTTTCCACATGCCTGCAGATTCGCTTAGGTTCTTGGTTGCAAGCAGCAAGGGGGATTTGTGATTTTTTTTTTCACTTTCATAGAAATTAATTTTATGGGATATTGTTGACCCATGGACATTTTCTCCTGCAATGTATGTCAGCGAATTAACTCTTGTGTAGAAACCAAGAGATTTGAGCCTGAAGTGTCCGTTTGTCAAGCCAAGCTTTATTGTATGCATACAAGGAACTAGAATAAGGGCCAAAGTAGTTATAGTATTTATAGTAGCTCAAAGGGGACATGGCTCCACACAGCTTATATATACCTTTCTCTGCACCCTCCCCCTCCTGTCTTTGAGGTAGCTTTCTCAAGAAACTCCAGGTCTCAGAAAGCACATAAAACATTCCTTTCTTATCAGGGAGTTTAGTATAAACATTCCCTGTCCCCATCAGGAGTTAAGTACAGAAGATGGGAGTTCAGTACAGGGAGGGAGAAGCATCTGAGCTAAAGCAAGCGTGAAGGCTAGAGTTTAGCATGTGAATTCAGCAGGAGTTCTCCGCTCCTACCACTATAATGGTACAGAGTAACATACTGTTTCTGCTAGCAGACCCCATCATCTGTGGCCCTTTCAAATTCTCCATTAGCCTACCTCACAGTGGGATCCCTAGCCCTCTTTTGTTCCAGTCTTGGTTGGCTGTTCAGCTTGGAAGAGCAGCCTAATCTAGGAAATGTCTTCCACTTCTTAATGATTGGCTTCACAATGCTTTGAGGTGGTTTTATAACCTCTTCCTGATCTATGCCTTTATACTGCACTTCGGTATATATTTATCCCCAAGTTGTTTTGAAGGCTCTTCATGGTTGATTATGTCTTTAAATGTACTACCTGACTGAGGAACCTTGCAGAGATATAGGTGTGTGTATTCTGAAGTCATGCCAACCACTATTATTGCACACTGACTGAGGTTTTTCAACAAGTTGTGTGGATTGTAAATGTTACAAATGAGGGGTTACGAAACTGGTGAAAATCGGTATTTGACCAAGCGATTTAGTCAATCAGTAAAATAATTATTCATAAACCCCAACTTGTAAGTGATTTCTTATCATACACCCAAGCGGGTTGTATAACCAGAGACATGTGAATTCCTTGTTCGCCGGTGCAGCTTTGTTGAGAGGAGCAACAATCCAGACACACTTGGTAAACAAATATTTATTACAATGACAAAACACATAAACTACACAGCACAAAACATACAACACACAAAGTTACATTATGTACAGTATTTACAGACAAGGCGTTTCAGAGGGCTAACATTCTGGTCACCCAGAAAACCCCAGACTGCTACTAAGCACTTAACTCTTAATATGCCTACAGAGGCCACACAAGAAATGAGCTGCCTTCTAACTAAATACAAAGTAACCTGCAGTTACATCTCTCTCTTTGCACCCTGGATGCCACAAAATAAATGGGAGCCTTTATCCCTATCCATAAAATGCACACTAATCAGGAAAGACGTTTTTAACTGTGGTATCTTTTACCAAGGAAACTCAAGTTCCCTAAAAACACAGAATAGCACACTCTAATAAGGTTCAAATACTTAGTCTAAATTGAAAAACCTTGGAGTGATATTCGAATCTGGATTAACATTCGACCCACATCTGTGGCATATTGTCAAAACATCTTTTTTTCACCTCAGAAATATCACTCGACTAGGCCCTATGCTGTCACTAATTGTGGCTGAAAAGCTGATCAACACATTTGTGTTCTCTCGAATTGACTGCTGTAATGCTCTACTCACTGGGGTATCTAAATCTACTTTGAACAAACTGCAGTATGTCCAAAATTCAGCAGCCAGAATCCTGACCAGGTCTAGTGCAAGTGTTCACATTACTCCTGTCCTGGGAGTCCTTGCACTGGCTTCCGGTCAAATTCTGTGTTGACTTTAAAATCCTCATGCTCACTTATAAGGCTCTGCATGGCTTGGCACCTCAATAATTGTCTGAACTATTATCGCCCTACTCCCCACCTCGCAACTTTCGCTCTTCAAATTCTGGTCTCCTTTCTGTCCCCCAAGCCCGTCTACATTGTATGGGTGACAGGGCCCAAGCTCTGGAACTCTCTGCCTAAGGATATCCGAGAGTCACCTTCTCTAAACTCATTATAATCCAGACTTAAAACCTTCTTCTTTAGAAAAGCCTTTACTTAACTGTTCCATTCTTCTGCTTTTCTTAGTACCACCATCCTCAGTCTCTTCTGTATATTGTAATTGTTTTCTTTATTGTATTTTTTTCATTTATTGTTGTTGACATTCTGTAAAGTGCTTTGAGAAGCCACCTTTAAAGGTGCTATATAAAATAAAGTTTATTATTCTTATAACTTCCCTAGGTATACTAAGGTAAACTTTACCATTGTTTCTGCCCAAGGGACCTCCCCCAGACATCAGCAAACATCCTCTTTGCTTTATAATTAGAAGTATTTTCTCTTCTCAGTGTCACAAACGTTATCTAAAATCTAAGAGACACTTCTAAGTCACCTAGCTGGAACATTAAGGTATTCATCTGCACCGAACAATGTACAAATGACAAACAATGTACAAACAATGGTTTTGAATAGTTATGCAGTCACAACTTTTCCATTTGTCTTTCATATTAATTATTGACTTCTTTCTTTTTGTGACAGATGTGTAGAGGTATCTATAACAAATGACTGTAAGCCACAAAGCAGCAAAATGTCAAAACTATGCAAGTGTCTGAATACTCTTGCATGGCACTGTAAATTCAAATTCATTCTTACAAATCCATCATCATTAAATTCCCTATATTGCTCTTGCTGGGTTTCACAGAACATAAAAAAGATTGAAACATAAGAGGACAGACAGCCTATTTACAGTATATTTCTTATTCTACCAAATACATTGTTGGAGAATCTCAACAATGAAGCCATTTCTTGAAAAAAGCAGAAGCAAGATAACAGTTTTGACAACAAGCAGCCTTGCTCAAGGCTTTCAAAGCATTTTTACCAGTGAAAGTAATGGTGACTGCTTCTCATAAACTGGGACTAGTAAGCTTGACAAGAGTATTGGGAACATAGAAAGGCAATGTGCAGGCAACATTTAGTGGTTTAGAATTATTTAGAATCTTTGGAAAGACTTGAAAACGTCTGTACAGAAGCAATACCCAAGAAAGCTGAGAGACCTTTAGCAAATCTGCCAAGAAGAGTGGGCATAAATTCCATGAAGCTGGTGTACAAAGGTACACAAAGGTACTGTACACAGACTTACTCAAAATGACATAACATAACATGAGGTGACATAACATAACATGGAGGTGGTGGCTGAGAGGAGAATGCTGACCAAGCTCATAGCCATCATGAACACCTCTCATCCGCTTCATAGGACTGTTACTGGGCAGGGGAGTACATTTAGCAATAGACTGCTCCAGCTACGGTGTTCAAGGGAACATTTCCGCAGGTCTTTCCTCCTGGCGGCTGTCAGGGTGTATAACGCTGCCCTAGGCTAGGACTGTTAGCCCTTCATTTGCTCCTCTATGGACAGCATGTTTACTCCATTGTACTTTTTGGACAATCAGTCTGTATAAACCTATGCACATTTTGCACATATTTTATTGTTTTTACAATGACTATGATCAGCACATTTTGCACACACCTATGTATTTATTTATTTTTATTTATCTTGTTTGTCTTTTGTTTTATAACTATTCTGATGTCTGTTTTGCTTGTCTTGGGCTGGACTGCTGTAACACATCAATTTCCCTACGGGATTAATAAAGTATTATCTATCTATCTATAACAACAACATCACGTTATTAGCCCTATACAATTTCTTGCATTAGGAATTCATCTTTTCACATACCCCAGCTTGCTTTCCATGAGAGGCAGACAGGAAGAGAGAAGTTTGGGCTCAGAGCACAGGGTCAGCCATTGTACAGCAACCCTGGAGCAGTTGGGGTTAAGGGCCTTGCTCAGGGGCCCAATGGAGTAGGATTTCCCCACCAGCTGTGGGATTTGAACCAGCAACCTTCCAGCCACAGGCGCAGATCCTTAGCCACAGATCAAACTGATTAAACATGAAACTGTATTTGTTGCCAACGGTGCTTCCAACAGATACTGAGTTCACAGGTCCGAATACTTATGCAGTCAACATATTTCAGTTTTCTTTTCTCTTTAGTGTTTGATGACATTTATTGTGTTGTATCCTACCCTTAGAGATATTCAGTCTGAGGCTTCAGGTCTTAAATGACATATTAGGTTTAAAAAAAATGTGTATTGTTTTGCGATTTTAGAAAAAGGACACCATAGGATGGGTCTGAATACATTCGGAAGGTACTGTAACCTATAATGTTCAGGAAAATGATACATTTCCCCCAAGCCCATCTATGATGGCGTTTTTAAAGAACATGCTTCATGTTAATAATTTTCAAAATACCTGTCTCATAAACTGTTTTTAGTGTGAATTTATCTAAAGATCTGGAGGATATTTTTCTTAATACTTTTGTATTATGCCCCACAAAGGGGGCAATTCATGTGATAGTTACAGAGCACCTAAAGTAAATCCATGCTGACCCAAAGATAAAATGCACATTCCACGCAGAATTCACCCCATCCAGAATTGAACCAAGGACCTAAGAACTATGAAACTATAGCAACCACCCACACTGGAATGGAACTGAATTAAATATATAACATTTCCATTCTAATATTATTTTTCTGCCATAGTATTTTGTGTTATAATGTAATTCTTTTTTAAAATTCGTGGAAATCTCTAAATGATTTAAATAATTAAATGTTTACTAATTTCATCGTTAGTAAACGACACGCAAAGAAGTAAATAATTGGAAAAATAAAAGCATCTACACCTCTAAGATTCATTAAGTGTAAATAACTTTGAACAATACGGTCAAACGTCGCTGCGCGGATTTGCACTGTATATTTTACTAAAAATGTCGACTTTCGCAGTGTCCCGTTATATTCTTCAGGGTAAATTTTTGGGACAGTAAATGAGCTCTCAACTCATTCAAGTCAGGTCTTTCAGGTTATTTAGGAATGCTCAAATATTTTACTTCATGTGGTTAAATGAGCAGCTTCTCCTATACCCGGGAAAATTTAACATGCAAGATTTATGGAAACAAGAATCCATAAGGTTAAAATGTAATCACGGAAAACAGTTAACATTGCATCAATGCTACACATGACGTTCGGGAATTTACAATTGCTTCGTGTACACGAACGAATTTAAGGCATCAGTTCAGCACTTTTATTGAGGAACACGAAAAACCAAAAATACCAAAGTAAGGTTACATGCCACAAGTAAATCGCAACTTTCTGCGTCTGTCATTGCATGCTGGAAACACACAGCCTATCAACACGCAAACGTCTAACACGCTGGCAGACGCAGCTTCTCCTACGACATTTGCGCACACTCGGTTTTCCTTGCGAGTCTCGCGATAGAAGAGAGCGACGTGAGGCCGGATCTCGGACCAGGAAAGAAGATAGGGACTGCTGGGGAACTGCACGTCTGTAATTGCTGATTTCACAACCTGGCCCAGGAGCATTCCTGCCTTCCAGAGCAGTTACATCAGTAGGGAATAGCGATGGAACTGAGCTCGAGCGTTCGGTCTCCGAGGGAAGAAGGCGAGCTGGAGGACGGGGAGATCAGCGACGATGACACCGATGAAAGGCAATTCGTGCGCCGTGACAAGAGGCCTAGCAGCAGCTGTAACAGCAGCGCAGGGCGTTTCGCTCGGAAGCCCAAACCCGGACCGCGGACATTACCGCCGCCTCCCATGGGGGGACCCGGCCTCGACTTCCGAATGAAAATGCCGTTCAACCGGGGACCCCATCCTCATCCCCCCAACTTAACTGGCCACAGGCAGCAAAGTGGAGCAGGCGTCCCCGACCGATCGCTGTCAGCCCAGCATTGCGACTCGGGTCCCAGATCGTCTTTCTGGGAGCGCAGCCACACCGCGCTGGGCAGGCTGAGGTACCGGAGGCCAAACGATGGCCGCGGAGACTGGGGCAGAGGGGGTTGGGGTGAGGGGGTTGGGGGCAGAGGGACTGGAAGGCCGCCCCCATGTCGACTTGGATTCGCCGGGGCACCTATCAGGAAGGAGTCCCCTCCAAGAAAGCGTATCCTTGCCCGTCCTTCGTTGCCACTGTACGAGTCCGACTTCAAAACCCGTTGATTTTTATACTTTCCTGGACAGTGAATCGTACAGCGTGTTACAATTCGTATCGCACATGTTGAAGCGATGACCGGCTTCTGTAGATTCGCTGCCCACACTCGAAATGTTAATGTGACCATTTTGGGTAACTGTGGCTATAAATATTCCTTTTCCTAAGACGAATAAGAGCTGTGTCCCGGTCGTGTTTCTAGGCGTTACCCCGACCACATTTGCAAAAATGTATCTTTTGTTCTTATTATACATACGGTATATGTTAGCTCTGCTACAAGGCTTTAAACAGACAGCTCAAGAACAATCGTCGAGACCGGAGGTCGACGTCAGCACCTAACAGGCGCAGAATCCTCTTTCGTTTGTACAGTTGACTTCCGCTGTTGGCACAGTCAGACGACTTCAGGAATAACACAACCCCCTTGAGTTGTACGGTATAGGATAGCGGACACACAAACCCAAACTAGTGCGAGGAAGAATATTTGGTTGAGGTTTTTTTGAAAAGCACATTACATTTGTACCCATGCACGTAGCTGGGCATTTTCCTGGAGCAAATTGGTCCAATTCCTCACTGCTCATGTGTTCAACAGACGTTCTTTCATCTTTCTGTAAAGAAAAGTAAAGCAATCACAGATGAATGGTTCATAATCAAAACACTAACAGTTGACACCTTTAAGCAAAGACTATTATTTGTGAACACCTTTTCTTCTTGTGGATTAACTGTCCACTTATAAGAACAAAGATGTCATTTGGCCCATCAAGCTGGTAGTTATTAATTGATTAATTTCATCCCATTGTTTTCTCTAAACCAAGGTTATCGGCTTCAATAACATGCCAGGGTAGCTTGTTCCATGTTCCCATAACTGTAAAACAAGTTTTAAATGCATGTTGTTTCCACTTGTGCTCACTCAATTTTAAATAATACAAATGGTTAGTTAGTAATACATTTGCTATGTAAAACTGTTATATAATGCAAACCTAGCATGTTTTTGATTCGGTTTTACAGATATTTATCTTCCTTCACTTCTTTACTCAGCAAAATTGTTTGGGAGACCTCAGGTGAGGAAACCCATTCATAACACTGCCAAAACCGAAAATGGTATTGAAGAAAGCTTTGAGGATTTGCTTTTGAAATATAAGCAAATTCAACATGAGCTGGAATGTATTAGGAAGGAGGAGAGGATGGCGCTGAGCTCCAAAGATCCTTCGCCTCAGAAAGAGGTAGAAGGAGCCCCCAGTGTTGATCAGGCTGTTTCAGGCACGGTCAGTATTCAGAAGGAAGCTGCTATAAAAGAGTCTCCACCTCCGGAGAAGCCCGAAATCAAAGTTTTTCAGGCTTTTAACCTGAAACCTTTAAGGCAGAAGCTTCTGACCCCTATGGAAAGAGATGAGATGAACAAGAAAAACACGAAGGAAGCAGAAAAGTCAGAGAACGCTGAAATAAGCCCCCTTGAGCCCAGTGACACAATAAAAGGTAAAGAAAATTCCACCTTAACATAATTGTACATCACATTCACCATTTTATTTGACCTCACTAAAATATAAACACCATAGGGCTTTTCCCACTTACTAGAGATGTGTGTGTGATATGCCACTTTTCTCATTTCCTTTTTTATTTCTACTACATTACTCTAATGGTTCTCTTTGTAATGCCTTTTCATCCTTACAGATGTTAATAATTACCCTAATAAGTCAGTCTTTTGCTACAATTCCGTTTAATTTGTGGATTGCCTCTGTCTTGAACTTGTAATGTCTGCCTTGAAAGTGTGCGGATTAGTCATTTGTTTTTACTTTGACCAAGTCCAATGGGAGAAGTGTTAAGCTTGTTTCTCTTTCTTAAAGATAAGGAAGATGAGGAGGAATTGGATTTAAACAATTCTTATCAAAGCAGCAAAGAATCAGATGACCTGCCTTATACTGTAAGTAACACAGAATGACATTCACAACGATGTCCGACTCGGTTTAGTCTTAGCAGGCATTTCTCCCACAGATGTTTTGCGTACACCACAAAGCTGTATTAATCATACAGCATTTGAGTGTCTTGGACAAGATTTTCCTGCATTGTTCTTCATGATGTGATGAAATCATCGCCAAGATTGATTTGAAGACAGGTTTTTTCAGATTACACCTTGTATTAATTAATTCAAAAACATTTCCAATAGGACTCAGTAAATGACTGAATTAATTACTGCACCAGTGGAGAAACGTTCTAAGATTTACTCGCATTATGTAGTAAATGGCAGTGTGGCTGTTAGTACTGCTGGCTCACATCTCGGTTGTCCCGGGTAATCCTGGATTGTAAAAATTGAATTTGGATTTTTTTTACTTAGGCGAACACTAGTTGTGGTTGTCAAACTGCTTTTGAACAAATTATGAACGCTAGTCTGTTAAAAGGTCCTAACTCTTATGAATCAGGTACCTGTAAGCTTCTGTAACAGCATTAAGGTCTGTTGAATAATACCACATTGTCAAGTAATCACCTATGCAATGCCATCTGTGCGCATTCATGTAAGATAAAAATGCAGTAAATGCATATGAGAAATAATTGTATGAAAAACCTTCAGTTGATATTCTGCATCTCATATGTCTAAATTAGGTTATTAAAATGTACACAGAACATAGAAAAACGTATGGCAAAGCTATGAAAGCCAAGGACAAATTACCAGTGCCAGTAGGCGCTCTCAGTTTTTCTTCATATCAGTATTGCAGTGTAGTGTAGGTGATGCTATACACCAGGCATGTTACTCAATCCAGATATGGATGCCTCTCTAGTTCATTTGAATGGTTTTGCCAGCACAGGCAAAGCATTTTCATTCAGCACTCTGTCATCCAATGCCTCTAACTATTAGAGTCTGCCATGTTGACTGTGAAATTTCTGTGACAGTGGGCTAAACCAAGCAACTCTAAAGATGCAGCAGACAGTGAATTTCTCTGTGAAGAGTGAGAGGAGCAGCGATGCCAATCCTGTTGCGAGGATGTGACGCCTCTGTAAAATCCTGGGCGCAAGTTTTGTGATGGCGCTCGTGTCCGTCGATGTCTTCCAGGAGTCTAAGGACGACGATGACGAGCTCTCCGAGCTGCAGCTGCGCCTGCTGGCCCTGCAGTCGGCCAGCAAGAAGTGGCAGCAGAAAGAGCAGCAGGTGTTGAAAGAAAGTAAAGAGAAACTGACCAAAGCTAAACAGACACAAGAGAAGGGAAAAGCTGCTGCCAAAACCCATCCCGTGAAGAAAAACATCATTCCCGGTGAGCAGCTTGTTAAATGTCACCCGCACCATGATGAATGTTTTTTTCCCAGAGCTGGCCTTTCCTGTGTTTCATGGATTTCATTGGGTCATTTGTAATCACACAGTTTGATTTTATCACAGTTCTTAGGAATTGCCAAAAATACATGGTGTTCATGTCTCGCTTTGTTTTGCTATAGCTGTAGTAGTTCAGGTGGGTAGCTGCGTCAGCATGCGTAGGCTGCAAAGGAACGAGTTTAAGTAGGTTTATTCCATGCTGAAAAACAGAAGAAAGAAAACGCAACGTTTCAGCCGTGGAGCCTTCTTCAGGTGTGAGAAACACAAGGCAGTAGGCAAAGGTAATGTAGCGGGAGAACAAAGGCTGGGAGAGAGGAGGAGTGAGAGGCGGGAGCAGGGGACAGAAAGAGAGGCCAATGTTTCTCATTTCACCTCTAACGGCCATGACCACGCTAATCTCTCGTCTGTGTTCTCAAAGATGGTTTTCCGAACTCATACATCAGAAAGACTACAGAAACCAAAATTATCCTGGGGCTAGGATCACACCTTCCCCCTTCTCTTAACGACAGACTACTTTTCTTCTAAAGTTTTATTTCACACCTCTCTACACCTATTCTGAAGAAGGCTCCACGTCCGAAACGTGTTTTCTTTCTTCTTTTTTTCAGCATGGGATAAACCTATTACTTTTTCCTTTGCTATAGCTGTACTGGGCTGACCATCTTAATGATATAATTGATTTTGCGCTAAGGTGATGCTCAGTGTAGGCCAAAGCCACCCTGGCGTACAAAGGTTTCAGTCATATTTGTTTAAGTCACTAAACAGGTAGTGTGTGTTTCATAACTATAGCTCTTCTTATCCTTAATGTCAGTAAAAAAATAGGCAGGTCTCTAGTTGTGGATCTGGAGTTGCCCCCAACTCAGTTTGTCTTAAGGGTAAAAATAAACCAAAATCTTCTACTCCTAAATATCAGAAAGTTCTCGGTTATTTAATTAAGAGATCCCTCGAAACTGAGAATTTAAAAATAACAATCACAATGAAACTGTAGTCTTAAGATATGAATGAACTAATGGTTATCCATAAGCCCTGTTGTGCCAGAGTTCTCGAGACTGAGAGCCGGAGATCGGTGCTTTATGCAAAGAAATGTGGGTGCAGGCAATAATTTGTTGTTCTGTTTTGCAAGTTCATAACTAATACTTTCTAAACGTTTTCTTTTTTGTGGTGTTAGAAAGTACCTGTATGGATTATTTATTGCTATGCTGAAAAGAAAAGCTGTGATTTGTTTTAGGAGCCTCGGAAACTAAAGATCAAGCTGGTGCTGGAGATGCAGATGAATCCGTTTCTCGAGAAAAAACGTTAATCTTTTAATGGAAGGCGTTGCCTGTGGGTGGTGCTTCCTTTAACACGGGTGTAATTCTCCGACTTGTAGTTGTCCTTCTGCCTGTCTTGTGGGCAGTCCTGCAGTCTCACGAACGCGGTGAAACTTTGTCGTCCGCAGGCTCGGCCGCGAAGCAGGCCTGGCGGAAACAGCAGGTGCGGACGTGGAAGCTCCAGCAGCAGAAAGAGCAGGAGAAGCCGCTGCACGAGGAGGGCGAGGAGCAGAGGCACGCGGAGGAAGAGGAGCGCAGGAAGCGCGAGGACGAGATCCGAAAGATCCGGGACCTGTCCAACCAGGACGAGCAGTACAACCGCTTCATGAAGCTGGTGGGCGGGAAAAGGCGGTCGAGAAGCAAGGTAAGACGGCCGTGCTAGGGAAATGATTGTGAGTTTGCTGGTGGCTGAGCTTCACTGCAGATCTCACTGCTCTGCCTGTCCTGTTTAAGCCCTCAAGTGGCACACTACAAGGCCTGAGAACTGCAGTCAGATCCTCTGAGACTGAAGGGATCTCGTCTTCGCCTTATCGTTTTAAAGGAAGCAAGAGGAAGAATTCTTGACATACGCCAAAAGATCTTTGGTGTACTATAATCTTATTCCTGTAGTCTTTCTTAATCTGGGCCAATTCCATTTGCACAGTGATTTATGTCTAGGCACCCATTTCATCCTTGGTTATAGAGCAAAACTCATCTGGGAGGCGTGAGCGCAGTTATGCGTTGTCTCACCACACAGTAGGTCATATACTGAAATTCCCAAATTGGATTAAGGGGGACCTTTAAGTAGGCAAGATTGTGCAAGGCCAGAGTGGAATTAAGGTAGGACATCTATGTCATACCCCTGTTTTTGCAAAATGTCCATAGGATCTTAACTGAGCAAATAATCATGATCATGGTTACAGAGGACAGTGTGCTCAGTCACCATGCTAGAGTGATGGATGATTGGGAGATTCTGCCCTAGATGGAAGAGTGCCACCTACTGGTCTATAAATGCCACTTATTGTAACAATCTGGCTTTCCTCAGAGATCTCGCATACCAGTACTGACCAGGCCCAGCTTTTCTTAGTATGGGAGACATGACAAGAGCAGGCTGTGAGGTGGTAGTACTGCTTCCTAGTTTAACATCATGACATTGTGCACCAGCAGAGATGTTTTTTTTTTTCAGACAAAATTCAGAAATGAAGGAGTTCATAATGTGAATATGGATAGTGTGTTGTGTTGATTTTGCATTGGCATTTGTTCTGTGTAGTCAGGATGTTTCAAGCTAGAAGATATCCAAGTCTCAGGCTTGCTGTAGCAAACCAGTCACCTGCCATGAACCCTCCCCCAGTTTTTAATGTGCTGTATATAAAGATAACATTTTTGAACGTGTTTGTAAAATATATCGATTATGCACTAATCTACGTAGACCTTGACGTGTATAAAAAAAAAAATTCAGGAACCTTTCCGTTATTTTTTTTAGAATAAACTGTATTCCATGATTAATGTAAAGCATGTCTACACATCCAGTTTGTGCTTTTTGGACAGTTGAACTTGACTTTTGTGTAAATCTTTTGTGGGTGTCCATGACAAATTGAGAAATACAAGATGCTAATTAGGTCTGTATTTACCAGGGTTTATTCCTTTTAATCTCTAAGGGCTTATACCATATATGAGTAATGTGAATATGGCTCTGGGTATTTTTAGTACAGTGGGGAATCGTTCCTTTACCTCCCTGTGTGTTTTAAGCCAATTGCTGCACTTTGGGAGTCCCAGAGCTGCCTGGCTGTGGTAAACAGTCTGTTCTTTTGTCTCCTTGGCAATAGTAGTAATGTTTCATTAATTGGCAGAACCCTTTTGTATTTCATGTCTTAGCCGATTTTTCACTGAATAATTGTAATGGACATTGCAGTTTTCATAGCATGCTCTTTAATTTCTCCTCAGTCATTGGACACAGAACACAGAAAGTCTCTGAACAAACAAGGCACCGATACTTCTGGGAACCTCTACCAGTATGACAATTACGACGAGGTTGCAATGGACACGGACAGTGAAACAAATTCACCAGGTAAGCTAGTATTTCCATATTCATTGGGGGCGAGCTCCACCCTTTACCTGTTTTTCTTTGTCAAATGCATGTTATTATTATACAGTGAAATATATCTTCAATTTAAATGTCCGTATTTCTTTGAAAAGAAGCGGCTAGTTTATCTGTTTCTTGCCTTTTCAATATTTTGTAGCATCGTCCCCAGCACACAATCCATTTCTAGCTGAAGAGCCTTCATGTTTCCTTCAAGTGCCACAGTTTCCGGTGGATGTGCCTCCTCATACCATGGTATGTATTGATGTTACTGTGTGCCGGTTATATTTAATGATCAAACTAATGAGAATTTTGTTAGATGATTACAGGGTCTAGGGGTGGTACGGTGGTATAGTAGTTAGCATTGCTACCTTGTCGTGCCGGGCCCCTGTATTCAATTCCTAGTGCTCTCTGTGTGGGGTTTGTATGGTCTCCTTGTGTTCATGAGGTTTTCCTCCAGGTGATCCCATTTCCCCCCACAATCCAAAGACATACTGGTGGCTTAATTGGGGAAAATCGGCCATAGGTGTGAGTTTTTGCGTGCCCTGTGATGAACTGGTGGCTTATAGGTTCCTTTTACAAGGAGGCAGTTTGAGCACCTTCCTTTATGTTGAAATAAGATCGGCTTAAACTGTGAAACTCTTTCCCCCTGCAGCTGTTCCATACCTTGAATCAGCGTTACCTGGACCCCCCTGCGCTCAGTCCTTCAGACCCCGAGCCCCCGCTCCCCCCACTGCCGCCGGATGAGCCGGAGCAGCCGCCCAAACCCCCGTTCGCCGATGAAGAGGAGGAAGAAGAGATGCTGCTCCGGGAAGAACTGCTGAAGTCGCTAGCCAGCAAGCGGGCGGTCAAATCAGAGGTACACACCCGGACCTGAGTCATATGGACTGTGACCAGCAGATGGCGTCTTCACACCGTTTTTAATCCATCTGAGCAAAGAGATCTGTGCACATTTAGGACTTGGTTATCCAGTTTAGATGTATTAATAATCTGGCCTGTTGTAGTAGGTGTTCTGAAAATAAACTTTAATGCAGTTAAGAGGCAGGCATAAGAAAGATATTCGGCGAGTTTTATATATTTTTCCTGGGAAAGCGGTAAACTTTCTTACAGACAAGTTTGAATCCCTACCCTATCCCTAGGTAAGATGGAGAAAGAAATTGCGACAGTCAGTCCTGACTTTCATCCAATGCCTTCTAGCAAGTATTATTCTGTAGCTTAGATCAATTTAGACTAATCTGGTTGTTTGGCAAGGAAACGTGATAAAGGGGAATGGGTGTGGAATTAATTTAATGTGTAAACTTCAGATTTTCAGGTGGGTGATTTGAGAGTACAGTAGATCTTAATTCTTGTTTCTACTTGTCACTTTTCTAGGAAACGTCAAGCAATAGTGGCCCTCCTTCTCCTCCGATGAATATTACTGTCCAGGTCATGCCAAGGAATAATTTATCCACCGTCAGTATGAATATGGGTTGTCAGCCGCGCCAGCTTAGCACCAAGTTTGTCCGAGGACCTCCTGCCCCACGGCCCTTGTTAGTGGTGAGTCTGAGAGCGCGAGGAGAAATAGCTTGTGATTCGGAAAAAGTGGTAACCTTTCTCAGGTTTTATTAGAACATGGCAGTTTTCTTGCTCTTTTCTTAAGGTACAAAGTTGGAGGAGAAAAACCTTTGTGTTTGCTTTGTGTGCATGTTTATTTAAAGATGTTTTTAAAGCATAAATTCACCATAACAGCCTGTTGAATTTCGGTTTTCAGAGATGATGCACGGTGCAGTCACATGGTTTTTAACATGAACCGTTCAAGGTAGAGAAAATTGGAAACTTGCAAATGTTTGGGCAAAACGCTTTGTAAGGACATGTAAGACTTTCTAAAAATAACATTCTAAAACTGAGCCTGTCCTCTAAATTGATTCTACAGAAACCATCTTTGGGTCCTAACAAAAAAAAAAAATGCAAGCCACAAAACCAGAGCGACAATCTCTGGCAGATTATTCAATTTTCCTTAAGGTCTGTAAATCTGAAAATACAGCTCCTTTCCCTATATTTAGTATGTCTCTTCTGTGCCTGTTACTTGATGGGTTTCAGTTTAAGACAGAGTCCAGAAGAGAAGATGGGTTGTAGACTGTAACTTGATGGCTTGTCTTCTTTCTTCTTTGCTGTTGCAAAACGCTTACACTCCTACACTGCTCACTTTGGATCTTTTCTCTAAGTAATACACCAGATCATTGTGACTAGAGTTGCTGGAAATTTTAGCAATCCTAGTTTCATAACTCGTGAAGCCATCCCTTTCTAAAATAATTGAGCATCAGTCAATTTCGACATTCTAACAAGCCCTGATGCACATCATGCTGTTGACCAAGTCGTCTGTTTAGCTGGATCAAGCAAGTCCTTTATGAGAGAAGCAAACCATTGTTTGTTCAGGCATTTTTTATATTTTAGCTGTCATGTTCTGTAGTGTTGCATGTGCATACATTGCGAAGAGTCCAATTAAATGTTGGAGGTGAAAGCAGTGTGGTTTTTGGTTTATAAATATATTTTATTGGTCTTGACACAAATACTCATAAAAGGCTAATAGATAAAACAAAAACAAAAACTTTTTTCACTTATAAATCCTATTGTTCAAGTTAGTAGTTCTGTAATTTAATCTGAACTGTATTTAGCAGAGTTTAATTGCCCTGAAATGGGGTAATGAGGAACACATGTTTACCAATATTTTTAGCATAATTCTTCTTAAAATATTTACTGTATTGTAAAACCATAGTACTTTCTGTGAAGATGATGCCTAAACAAACCTTGATTCACTAGTTTATCTTGAATCTGTAGTTCACTTTGAATTGGTTAAATTAGTTTCTTAATAGAAAGGAAGCCACCTTACGTTAAAAAACTTGTTTTATGTTATTTCCAAGATGACTTAATCAAATTATCTTCCTCAAAACCTTTCATATGTATCATTTCTGTTTTAAAGAGCTTAATCTCTTGACTTGTTGGGAAAGCTAGATGCTCTTGTAACATTTCTGTTTTTTTTTAATGGGTCGTCTTCTCTAAACAAATTTGTTCTATACTCTTTCTGTTGAATAATTCTGTTGTCTCGTCAGTTTGGGGGAAAAAAAGCTTTTTTTAATGAAAGTTGAACAATGAAACTATTTTGTTGTGTTCAGGTTACTATGGGACAAGCTTACCCTGTGGAAGAGTTCAATAATTATTGGTAATGGTTTTGAAGCCAGTGGTTTGATGTGCAATTTAGAAACAAATTATTAGAAAAAAGAGAAATTATTAAGAATAAGAGGTCCAATAATAAGGTCTGTAATGCCTTGGGTTATATCTTTTTTTAGAGCTCTCTGTTACTTGACTGTAGCTGATGGTGGTTAGGAGTTTTGACAACCTGCAGCTCTCTGAAGGAGATGTACAATGTGGGAAATAGATCAAATCTAAAACCCAGACCTCCACCAGTGTTTCGGGGTTTTTCCTCTGCTGATGTCATGGCGGTTTTCTTCGGGCTTTTGTGACAGCTTCACAATTGCTCCTCTTGTTTTGCAGCTCCCCAGGCACAAAGCAGTAGTTGTTCAGCTGAATGATTCTGACGACAGCGAGTCGGAGGGTGAAGCTCTGGCTGCTGAATCGTTGGTCTTTGGAGGACTAGAGTCCATGATCAAGGAAGCAAGGAGGACAGTGGAGGTATGTGATCCGTTCTGATAATGTCAGCTGAACACATAAAATAACGTATACAGTTGCCCAGGAATCTTTTTTCTAAAGAACACAACAGGCAGTGCGTAGATGTTTTGTTCCTTATTTTTCCTTTGTTTCATGCAATTGACGTGGCCACTGGAGCTGCACGTTATCAAGAAAGTCCAGTCTGCATCCCATCTCCTTGCCATCGAAATAGTTTTCACCTGAGCAAGCTTTCAGTAGCAAAATGAAAAGTGGTTCTGCTGCTTAATTTGACAACATTCTTTCTAGAATATTGGTGAACCGAAAGACATACTGTTTAAATCGTTCTCAGATTATTCCTAAAAGCATTAAGTTAAAGTCATATCAAGTAGGAAAAAGCTCGGAATTATAGTGCTTGGGATATGAGGATTAAATTGAAAATAGTTTTAATAATGTTTGCAGCTTTCGAATAATTTGGAGCATTTGTCAGTATGATGCTGAACCAAAGAACCTGGGAATCGGTTCAGTCTATTTTTTCATTCACCACAAATCCCCTGCTCAGTAGGTGGTTTATGTGACAGTGAAAACAGCCTTGTAGCTGGTTTTCTTCCATCCTCTCTGGCTCAAATTTATCCATATAGTAATCCAGATTTTCCATAATTTTTTTGGGTTGGTTGCTATTGGAGACTTGTAATATTGCTTCTTAAATGCATTCAAATGAGTGGTTTATATTGAGTACATCTGGTGTAGTTTTACCAAGATGATGAAATAGTAAATATGTACAAATTAAAGTCAAACTCTAGATTTACTAGCCTAAAGGCAATTCTGCCTGTATTTAATTTTCAAAGGTTCACCTGTTAGATACACTGACATTAAATTGAACGTAATGTACACTTTTTTAAACAAGGAAATATAACTTGTTATACAAAATATTTGGAAGGTAAACCTGATTTTTGTTTGTAAACAGTGTAGTTTCACCATCTGTTTAGTATCTGATATTCCAGGCATTTCTTGGTCCTCAAAGCTTAAAATAGCTCATCATCATGACCAGTAACAACCAAAGATTCAACTGTCAGGCTACTGATCTGGGATCCCATGTGTATTTGGACTGTTTAATTGTCCAATTCCTATTTAAACTACAGTCCATCTATAATTTGTACGTTATCTGAATGTTTTAAATTAGCCAAGAGTAGTAATATTAAGCAGTTTAATGAATCAATTGTTTTATTCATAAACATATTAAGGACGAGCATCTGCAGTTTAGAGCTCTGTGAAACTTTTTCTAATTCAGGGATATCAGAAATGTTTTAGTTGTTTATCTCTATCACTTACAGGCATCAAAACCAAAAGCTCCTTCAGGACCTGAGAAGGAAAACAATCCACTTAAAACCCCTGAGACCCTACCAGATGTTAAAAAGTTTGAATATAGACTGCTGAAAGAAGAAATTGCCAGGTATTGCATAAAATGACGCTTTTAAACCCACAGAGTCAGACTGATTTTTCCATTTCAGCTAAGTGCTCTTAATACTGAATATGTAACCTATCTCCACACAGGTTTTCAAGTTTGACTTTTAACTTTTGTTCTTTGAAATGTCATTGTTCTAAGCTCTGTTTTGTTTTATTGTTCTGTTTTGTGTAGTCGAGAGAAGCAGAAGCTATTGTCTTTTGATCGATCCAGGGGCATCCCTTCTCCAGCTAACTGCGATGTGGAGTTGGATATTGTAGGAAGAGGCACAGAGGCTGATCTACAGATCTTGGAGGCTGAAAATAAGCTTAAAAAACACAAGTATGTTCCACTGCCTTAGAGGTTTTGCGAAAAGTATAAAGTCACACCATTGTTTTGACTGCTCATTTATTGTTCTTCTGAGGTGTTGAACAAAACTAAAATTGATCAGCCTTCAAAAATAGTTATAATGGCAACAGTTTATACTATTCTAAGACTTTTTTTGGTATCTGTGGCCTTAGGGCATTATAATATAAGTGATTCAACGTGAAACTGTTTACTGTTTTTTAAGCATTATACCAGGGTTTGCAAATTGGTGAGTAATCGCTGCCTTTTCCCTTTAATATAGTCTCTCTAATGTAATGGAAGCTGTTTTTACAGACGCTAGACTCATATAGATATAACTTAAAACAGTTTTAAAGTAAGTTGGTTGTAAGATCAGATGCACAGTTTTTCATCCACTTTCAATTTGGACAGTTTCCAGTAATTTGTTTTCCAAGTGATGAAAAAAACCTCATTGGTCTTTATCCAATTTGACGAGTGCTAGGGTTAATGAGAAGTTAAGGATTATTTTACTTCACAGTAATTTTTTTGTTGATACAGTGGTTTGAAATATATTGGATTGAATATATTTTTAATTGAAAAATTATTCAGTCTTATCAGGTGGCTAACACATTTAAAAAGGTTTTTGTCTGTTATGTGATTAACCTTAAAAATGTTTCAGGTTATGTTTTCAAACATTTTTTACGGAAACAGTACAGTAACAAGTAGATTAAGAAAACATTTTAAAGGGAAACTGGAGAATAAATGGACACTGACTTTAAGCCCTGTTACACTGAATTTTGTGATTTTACCATACTTGTTTTACTAAAACAAGAGTAACATGGACACAAGAGGACTTACGTTTAAAGTTATACAGGGAGTATAGTACAGTGCAGTTTTTAATAAGTCTATTATTTAAGAAGGCCTTCTGTAGAGAGAACAGAGAAGCCATGTTCTCTCATTCAACAGTTCCCAAAACAGGGCATTTTTATCAGCATTTATACCCTAAGTCACAGCATGAAAAAATTACTTTACCATGATTGTCAACTTAGGAAGTAGGACTTATTTTGGAAAAAATATATATTTAAACATAAATGCAAAGACTATTTCTGTCTTCCAGAAATGCCAGCCTTACAGTGTCCAGTGGTCGCCTATCTCATAGTTCCACTCAAACCATTTTTTACAATTCAGGAAGGTGTGGTGATTGTAAATAACTTCATGTTAATAATAAGTCCTTTTTTTTACAACCTAGAAACCTACTTTTAAAGGATGAATTGCTCTTGAAGCACCTTCTTCAGCAAGAGCTAAAGAAAAAGGAATCGCTCAGAGCGTCTGAAACCAAGATGGTCAAACTCAAAGAACAGCTGCTGGCAACTGAGAAGATTGTTCATGCCAACAAAACTCTTTTAAAGAAGCTGCAAGAGCAGGTTAGTGTGAAACAAAGCATGAAATAACCATTTTTAAACAGCAAAAGGGAGATTGAAATTTCATGGGTGTCAGACTTGTCTAGTCGTTTATAAACCTAGCAGTGGAAAAAGCAATATAAGAAACTGGAGGATAAAATATTGTTGACGATAAATCCAACCCATACTACATTTGGGCCACTAATCTTTTGCGGTCAGGCTTTTAAAGATCTTTTATAGGGATTGTCTTGACCTCATTTTAACATTTCCCCCCAGATCCACAGGGTGCAGCATCGTGTATCTCTAAAGAAACATCAGGCTGTAAAGCTTGAAAAAGATCTGGCTCAGGCCAAGGTGTTTGCCAGTCATGGTGGAATGAAACGGAAAAACGAGACGACTTACCTTTCGGTGAGAGATCCAACCACACTTTTTTTTATCGGATGTACTGAAAAAATGTTGACTCGCCCTGTGATCACTCTGAGTTTGTGTTATTAACGAGTTACTGTGGTTAGCATGAATGTTTTCTGAAGAGCTAGTTGCGTGTTCAGACGTGTGCATCGCCAGCTTACGTTTCTTAATTCTGATTGTGGGTTGTGCAGCCAAGCAAGATGCTCCGTCTAGACAGCTCCCCCTCCAGGAGCCCAGGGAAGCAGTTCGCCGAGATGATCGCGCGGGAGAAGAAGCGCCTGCAGCAGCTCGAGTCCGAGTACGCCCTCAAGATCCAGAAACTAAAGGAAGCGCAGGCCCTGCGCAACAGGGAATTGCAGGAGGTTGCGGCCTCCGTTGAAGAGGGACCCCCCTCGTTCACCCTGCCTCAGCCGTCGCTGCACGACCTCACCCAGGACAAGCTGACTCTGGACAGCGAGGAGAACGAGGCAGAAGACGAGGAGCTGTCTCCCTCCATCCGGGAGCGCAGGCGCTCCTTCAGGGAGTCGGGTGCCTTCACCAAACCCAATCTTAAGCATACGGAGGCAGCTCCCAGCAAAGAGAGCCTGAGCAAGCCTTCCAAAAAGACAGTGGACGAGCCAGAGCTCTTTTGTGGCCTGAAGATAGAGGATCTGCAGAAACATTACAAGGAATCGGAAAGCTTGACGGAGCTGATTGAGGGAAGCACTTCCCAGATGCTGGCATCAACAGGGAAACCTTTGTGCAGCAAGGTAATGAAGTAGGATTGAGGAGCCACGTTAACCTTTTGAGAGTGCAATATCCAGTTTTGATGATTTATTTTCTTTTCCATCTAAGAGTGCTTTTTTCTCTATTGTGTTAAAGAAGTTCACACTAGACTTGGACGTGACTTCACAAACAAGTCGTGTGGAGCTGACACCATGCCCTTTCGGACCCTATCACAGCCCTCTTCTAGTTTTTAAGTCTTACAGGTATGGTAGTTTTCCATTTTCTGTGTATTATGCATACTGTATGGTTACTGTGTGACGTGGCCTAGACTGGAACCAGCAATCTCAGGACTGAAGGTTTACAATGTTGCATGCCAACAAATAGATACTTTGCTATTTGCCAAGTGCTATTTATATTCCTAGAACTATATATCTAGGCTTTTCATTATCTCTCCAATATCTCCTTGAGAAGTCCTCATTTCTTGGTCACGCAGCAAAGAAATTTCTGGATAAACCTCTCTGTAGTGTCAGTTATTTTTAGAAATCGTTTTTGCTTCCAGTCTTCTAGCTCTTGTGAGTAGAGTGAAACAATACCTGCAGTTCTGTCAGTGGGTATCTCTGGTTTCTTGGTTAATTAGTATTGTGATATTTAATTTGATTCTAACGTTGTTTTTTTATTTTATAGGTTCAGTCCGTATTTTCGGACCAAGGAAAAGTTATCCCTTAGTTCCATTACCTACAGCAATATCATTGAGCCGAAGAAGTTTTTCTGCCGGTTTGATTTAACTGGCACGTGTAATGATGATGAATGTCAGTGGTAAGCAGCATTACAAAAATTAAGTAGCTTTCAGAAAATCACGTAATAAGCATACTTATGGAAATATAGTTGTTTTAGTTGGTTGTTTCTAAATATTAGTAAGAAGTGAGGATAGGGAAAGAATATGGGCCGAGTTGTAATTATTCACTCATTTTGGAAAGTGTTTATTGTTACATATCTTTTTTTGACCAGTGCATTGTTTAAAAGCTATGTAATTATACTGTAGACAATGTTGCAGTGTCTCATTTTGGCACAACTGAGGCTTTATTTTTTTAGGAAAATTTGACTTAAGTTGCTGTGTGTTTTAGAAAGATAATAATTTCATTTGTATTTCAGGCAACACATGAGAAATTGCACTTTAACTGGAAAACAGTTGTTTCAGGACATCGTATCTTACAATTTAACACTAATTGGATGTTCAGAAACCAGCACAAAAGAGGAAATCAGTATTGCAACCGGTAAAGTCTTTTCTTGGTGTTTATGATCGACTTAGTTCATCCCTGCAGCTGTTCCTGGTAACAATTGGTTGTCATCATTAGTACCTTCTGGTATTGAAATAGTGATGAAATTTCTTGTATTATTAGTTTGTGTTTAGATGCAGAAATTGGGGAACTGCTCTTTGTGGTTGTCCGTTGTAATATTAGCACTTACCTTTTCAATTGTAACATGGACTTGCTCTCAGGCTTCTGAACGCATGACCAAAATGAGTGAACGGTTCAAGCCCTCACAGAACTGCATCCTTGAGCAACATGTTTTTATTGGATTCCTCCAGTCTGGCCAGTGTAGAGTTTGAATTTTGGCAAGGATTGTATTCCAGGGTTCTCCCACAGATTTGTTTTATGCAACAGGGTATGATCCTGCACAAATTTTGCTCATGTCTGAGTAATAGCGGTATTGTACAACTCACCAGTTGTCAGCACACTAATTCCCCCCCTTTCCTCTCTTGCTCCCAGGCCCCAAACCAGCAACTCTCTTGCGCTGCAGTTGGGTGTTGACATTCCAAAATGTGCTTAAAGTGTGGGATGAGGGAAAAGTAGACCAAGCATTCACATGTAATAGTATCCTCAAAGATTATATTTTCAGAAAGGTTGAAGAATCCAGATAAACATTATGATCTTATGGATACAGGGATGATTTTGAGCAATTCTGTTATCCTTGTGTATTTTTTTCTGTTCCGTCATGTAAAGAATACAATTTTGATGCTTATCGTTCTTGAACGAAGAAAAGGCTGCAATGCTAGTAGCTGTTTGAAAGTAGTGAGAAATGGAAATGTATAGGTACATACACATATCCCAGGATTGTGCACTTGCTTTGTTTAGCAGCTGTGATGGTGATGGTTCACAGCGCTTGTGTAGATTAAGGGTAATGATGGGGAGAAGGGGGTGAGGGGGATTAAGATGACTGCAATCAGAGTGGAATGCAGGGGGTGATTGTTTTCGTACGTACGGAGAGAAAGGTCAGATGGCCTCCTCTCGTTTGTAAACCACCTAGCTGGTTTCATATTCTTAACCGAATTGCTAGAATCCAACTGAACTACTTATTGTCTCTTCAGAGAAGTACATCAACAAGCTGTTCGGAATGAACAAGGATCGAATGGGAACAGACCAGATGGCAGTTCTCCTTGTGAGCAAAGTTAACGAAAGCAAAGGCCACAGTGAGTATTTGCAACCTGCGACCCATGAAGAAAGACCTGTATTACTTCATTAGAATTGAGTGTAACAGTAATTGCTTGTGTCCACCTGTTTCTTTCTCTCGAGGCATTTGTCTTAATAATGTACATATTTATGCATTTGAAGGCATTGAATTGTAGTGTTTTAAGCTTTGGTGGCATTTTCTTGAATGGCATTTCTCTTGCGTTGTGTACATGGTGAATGTACTCTGGTTTCATTAGTGCGGATCATTTTGGAAAGCTCAGGAGCAGTATTCAGATTATACCCGTTTAAAATGAAGTACTGTATGAAGTCATGAGACATACATGAGAAATGTTTTCTTTTTACTTGTTTGTGTCCACCTCAGACGCAAGTAGGTGGATTGTCGTTTTGCATGAAGGCAAACAACCTCTGTGCATAATTTGCAGGCATTTCTAATGTCTTCATTTTTATAACTTTTGTGCATTTTATTACAGTTCCCCCTTACACGACCTGTAAGGACATTAGGAAATGGAGGCCCCAGCAGCTGACAAAAGCAGAGCCCGAGACCGGCAGCAATAGCAGTGATGAAGATGAGGAAAATGCAGGATCTGTCAAGTATGGTGAGAAATATCCCGTTTCTCAACAGGATTAAAACTCTGTAGAACCCGGAAAAGACATCAGCCAAGGAACAATAAGAGTGAAGCTTAAAAAGCTGATATCTGTATTGAATTGTTCTTGTAGACTGACTAAAGAGGTGCACAAATCAATACTTTGATGTATTGCCATATTTGTTTAAAAAAAAAATCGACATTAGTTTTATGTTGACTCAATGTGGAATAGTGTGATTTTCGCATATTGGCTATCGGATGTGAGCCCCACAACTGCAGTCAGGGCAGAATGGGGAAATGTAGTCAGTCTGCTAAAAGCCACTTGTCTTTTAAAGACCTCTTAGGCAGCACAGTCGTTTTCTAGAGGGCCTGGGATTGTACCAACTAATTCCACCTTTGTGCACATGGCACAATTGGTTTGGTGCTGCCACTAGGAGAATCCCTGGTCAGGTGGATGGTAACCAAGGCTTGAACCTGTGATCAGCAAGCCCAACCTGTACTGGGGGTGTATGATTTTACTGTTGAAGCAACTCAGGGAGCCCAATGTCACCACATTTTTTTTTTTGTGCGTATCATCTAAAGTGTTTGAATGAAAATGAAATGTTGATGTTGCAGAACATCGTTCAGAGTCTTCCTGGGGAAACAGTTCTGCTCTTGATGCGTGTGTGACTCCAGATGACGTCCGGTATTTTACCAGCGAAACCGATGACATATCTAACTTGGAAGCAAGTGTATTAGAAAGCTCCAGAGATGTACAATTGTGGATAAAGTTAGCCTACAAGTACCTCAGCCAGAAAGATAGGTAGGTGGACCTTTAATTCTTTTTTAACGGTATGCCAGTTTTGCAAGAAGTTACTTTGTACTACAAAGTGAAGTGAAATTTATTCTTAACCTTAATATTTAGAATTGATAAAAATCTTAAAACTTCAGAATTCAGTTTTGTTCTGAACACAATGAATGTGATTCAAAACTACAAATTAAGCAGAACTTTAGTATTGTAGCATTCATAAAAATAGTTGCAAAATGGTTATGTAATACTGTGAGGAGTTGAGGCTTGACTAAATATCATTTTGCTTTGTAACGTTGGAATCTCATAACACTGAAAATTAATTAGAGATTGAACTTTCCTAGTTTTAGTACCCAGTGGGGAAACGCATTGAACCCCCCTTTCACAGAACTAAAGGACTTCTTCTTCTGTCTAGTTCATCATCAGAATGTTTGGATTCCGCCTTAAACACGTTGGCCCGAGCTCTAGAACACAACCGCGAGAATCCGGAAGTTTGGTGTCACTACCTCAGTCTTTTCTCCAAACGAGGAACAAAGGAGGAAGTGCAAGAAATGTGCGAGACCGCTGTGGAGTATGCTCCTGACTACCAAGTGTGGTGGAAGGTGAGGTGCTTTCCACCGAAATCTGCAGTAAAAGTTCCAAACATGGCGCATAACACTAGTGTTCTATTTCCACTCTGTGGCAACAGCTTTCTAATACGCCAAATTTTATTTCAAATCAAGTTACTAAGTTCCCAAGACACTAAATAAATATGGTGTTATGCCACTGTGTGGCAATTTAAGAAAAATGTGTTCCTTTGTTGCAATTTCTGGATTAAATCCAAGCTAGGTAATGAATTGCTGTTCTTAAATCTCTTCAAGCTGCTTTCCGAAATCAAAGATGCATAGAATTTTAACTGTCGTATATGCAAGGCTTCTTCTTGGTAAGAAATGCCTTTTATGGTAGATTAGCTAGAAAGACATGACAGTAACCTGCAGATAATGAAGTAGAACGAGTCTACTCTGCCACATTTTTGAATGAGGGGAAAAAAATTCTGCAAAGACCAGCTCAGCAGCTTGCAGTGATCATGAGCAGTTATTTGATATTTTATGTTTTAATGAGTTCTAGTCCATTAAAGCCTCTAAGCCAATCATTCTGAGATGAATGGCTTGCTTTCTGAATTCTTGAAATGTTATTTTGACAGAAGACCCATTAAATGTGCCCTATATGGCACTTCTATCTATACGATAAGCAGTCTTTTCACTGAATGACAATTTTTGTTTTTGCTTCTGGCTTCACTAGCGCTCACATGTGCAGTTGGTTACAATTGCATCGAGTCTATTTGTCTTGAGACTCGCATGAGGATGAAGACGCATGGCGTGTTGGCTAAAGAGTTTATTGCAATATGGCTTCCTGACTTGCCAGTGCCACTGGTGTACGTTACCTACTGTTAGATCAGGGGGTAGATAAGTGGGGAAATAGAAATGGAGACAAGCTGCAGTGGTGCTGCTGACCTCTGGAGCAACTCCTGAACTGGAGTTCACTCTAAAACCATGTTGTGTCTTGAGATGTAATTTTGTGAAGTTGTATTTTGCAGCTAATTTATTTGCGAGTTGCCAGGAAGTCTAAAAAAAAAAGTCTTCCTTTTGTTTCAGTTCCTGAACCTTGAGAGCTCCTTTGACGGGAAGGACTATGTTTGTGGTCGCATCATGCAATACCTACTGGGCACAGCAGGGGGAGACAAATCAGAACTGGTGTCCTTCCAGTTACTGGAGTCGCTGCTGTATCGAGTCCAGCTCAGCCTGTTCACAGGCAGGCATCAGAATGCCCTTGCTCTCCTACAGGTCTGTCTATAAGATAATGGTGGTTTTTCACCTTGTTATCATTTGTAATTAACCTTATTAAATACATTACTGAGATGGAGGTCTATTGCTTTTATCGCTTAATTTGTCTTGTGTTTGACAAAATGGCTTTACACTTTTTTCCTCTTTGCTTTTGGGCATATTCTTTTGATTACTGATCTATCCTCTGTAGGCTTAGGCTTGTGTATAATGCATATATCTTGCTTTTTGTTATTTCCACGTCGCAAGACCTAAACCTTACAACTCTGAATCAACAAACTGATTTGAACTCCTTTCATGGGAGAGACTGAGCCTTCACCTAGAACTGAATTCTGTGACTCTAGAGCAAACATTGCTCTCTAACACAGGGTGCACTCTAATAGACTGAGAGTAAAATATGGCACAGCTAAAGCATGGTAAACCAAAGTTGTTAGTTGAAAGAAGAATCATAATGCACTTGAACTCAAGTCAACACAGAGAGTCTGAAAGCAGGGTGACATGCTTCATTGTTGTATTTAAATCCTTAACTAAGCTGTTCTGGACAGTTTCAAGATGGAGCTTGCTAACAGTCTAATGCAGACAAAAGCATTCAGTACCACCACAGAATGAAATAAGAATACATTGGGTTCAGTCTGTAATGTGTGTAATCAGTTAAGAATGTGAGGTGTTCCATCTCAGATTGAATAGAGTTTTGCATCTTTTTTTGCAATTACCTCAAGTCATAATTGTGTAGTTTTTGCTCTGTCTAACACATAGTGTTATACCATATGTCTGACAGGCTACTCAAGTCTGTTATAAAACATTTTGGGAATTAAGCCAGAATAGTTTCCTTTACCTGTTAGTCATGTGGTGTGACTAGCCTAATAATCAATCCTTTTATGTGACATAAAACTATAATACAAGAGTAGATTCCGTTGCTGATGTGCAGTGATTTCAGACGTTCTTGGGAATAATAATTTGATTTGGAAGTAGTACAGAACATCAACTTTTAAAGTACTTTATGTAATATCCCGACCTTTGTGCTTTCTGATCTTAATGTGGGAATTTTTCCTTTCTTTTCAGAATGCTTTGAAATCGACAAGCGATGAAAAAAGCATTGCCGAGCACCTCACTAGAAGCGATCGGTGCCTGGCCTGGTTGGCTTACATTCATCTCGCCGAATTTAACAGCCTTCCCAGCAGCTTGTATGATCCAGCAAACTCAAACCTGTCCAGAATCGTTTCTAGGGAATTTTTTTTCATTCCTTGGCAGTCCCCAAAAGATGTGAAGACTGACCCTGACATGCTCCTTGCACTATTTGAAGGCAAGTGAAATAAGGAAGCTACACTTGCATTCTGATTCTTTCACATTAATAACCGTTTTGAATTACAGGGTTTTGCAAAATAATTTCTCAAAACTGGTGCTGCCAAGTGCATTCTTTTAAGCAGCAATTTATGGCTAGCAGTGTGTGGAATAATTACTGAGATTGTCCTCCTAAAGCTATTATTCATAATTTCAGAACCAGCACTATGATCCAAAAATTGGACCATACCAGCAGCTAGTAAATTTACAGCTTCTTCTGACTATAGATAGACAAATTTGCCAAAATACACAATCCTGGATGTTCATCTCTGCCTACTAAATGTGAATTCGTTAAAGATGAGTGAGTTGTGTAGACAGGGCACATCACAGGCATTTGGTGGTTTCTGTTGCATAAAGTCATTACTGGGAATCTCATTTAAGTGTTTTTGAGCTCTTATCAGTGGACTTTTGCTACCTGATACCAGACTCAAGACACCGGATTCTTTATTATCAAAGTGCAGCATGGCTTAATCGCTTTATAGCTGTCTCGGAAGCCATTGTACTTGAGCAGAGATCGATAAGGTTGCATTGAGTAAAAACTGAGAAAGCACGAAAAAAATCTTCAATTTACAATGGGGTCTTTGCCAATCTGAATTCCATTTATGATTCAGCCTTTTTCTTGATACACCAAGATTCTTTGATGTTGAACTTTTTACTGTCTTAGCTGAAATACTAAACATAAATATTGCGTAACTGTATGAATGGCTTGCTTCAGTTCCCAACTCTGACCTGTCCTTGACAGCAGACTTTGGAATTGTAAAATCTTACAAAGGAAGAGCATTCACTTGAAATTGGCATTGTAATTTTTACTTATTTGTGTCCTTGAAGATAGGTTGTATTTTTCTGATGTTTTTTCTTCTATTGAAATAATACAAATCGTATTTTAAGTGTTACAAAAATGCCCCTTTAATCTATCATTATGATCCGTCTAATATTTTCTGTCTTAACAGACCTGTATATGTAAATGGACCTTTCAAGGTGCTTTTCCCAGACTGTAATGGATGTTAAGGATGCATCTGTATAGACTGTATAAGAAAGTGTTATGTTTAAAAAGTCAAATTCACTGATATCAGTTTTTAGAATTGGTTAGAACTCACATAACGTGGTTTATTCTTTACAGATGCTGTGTGCCAATGTACTGATGAGAGCTCTTCTCTTGAAGAGAGGATTACAGATTGCTTGCCTTTGTATAGAAACATGATTCTGCTGAATCAGCTTTTGGGGAGGTAATATGTTCATTCAGGGCACATCTTTCCTGGCTTTGATGGCATTTAACTAGACACTAATGTTTTTCTTCTATGTTAGATGGGAGGCAGCTGTCAGGCTTTGCGAGACACTTTTGGAGTCTTGTGCTTCTTGCTGTGAATTGCTAGAATCTCTGGCTGAGCTGTACATACAGAAAGAAGAGACTGAAAAAGCCTTTGAAGTTTGGCTTGGTGCTCTGAGAAACAGTCCTCATAATGGGAAGATCTTCTATAATGCTTGCAGATTACTTGTGTTACAGGTGAGTTTCAAAAATCATATTTTGAACCCTAAAATGAGTCTGTAAGTGTCTTGCTAGTTTTGATCTCACAAGCTCCTTTCATTTTGCTGAGCCGTATTTTTTACAGAATCATTTCAGCACATACAGGACTGCCCTAAATTAACTAATTTCCTGAATTTTATTATAGGCACCTGCAGTAACTCTCAAGGTGACACTCAAGGCCAGTCAGGTTAGGGTCAAAACATGCAGGTCAACTATGGGTTTTTATTTTTGGTAATGGTGCAGATCAGAATTTTTGATCAACAAAAAACTTGTTCCAAGTACAAAACTGATGACCTTTCTGGCATGTCACTGTGAGGAGTTGATTTTGTTTTATTTGGTGCTCTTCTGGTTCAGCTACATTAAGACATAACTAACATGGAAAAGTTAATTGTGCAGTAGGTAATTAAACTGGCATTTACCAAGATAAATAGAATAGTCTGTTCTAAGGTGAGAGTGACACAGTGATAATGGTTCAATAAGATAACCAGATGCTTGGAAATCTTTTAATCTTGAAAGAAAACAGTAAAGAATTAGAATTAGTGAACTGTAAAATGTGCAAAAACATATTTTCAGATGACAGTCGTAGCCCTGGAGCTTGATCACACCTGAAACTAAAGTGCCGTTTCCTTCCTGGTTGGGAGGAATTGCCTACAGTTTTCCTCCCTAATGTAATTAAAGACTCCCAGCAAAGTCCATAGGGAATCAATGCTAAAACTGGTAGCAAAGACTGTGATTTGGAAAAATCTTTTGAATCGGGTACTGAAGACTGTTTTTGTGTGAATTAGCACAAGGCCTGCATTGACATCAGTGCTGCATTGGGATGTGTTAATGCTTTTACACCTGACACAACTGCTGTTTCCCTAAATACAAAGTACGCTAAAGAAATTCTGCATAGCGTTATGCCTGAACATGGAGAATACGTCTCAAAACTGGTCATGGAACATTGACGTTAGATATGAGGATGTAAAAATACTACAAAATCGGTTACATTTGTTTAACGACACATTACTTTGAGGATAAGTGGGTGCTAAAGGAAAGAGTGCTATGTGCAACTGAATGGAACAGTTCATGAAACGAATGGGAGAACATAAAGGCAGTTGTCATACTGTCGCTATGGAGGTTTGTTTTGGATGATCTGGTCTCAAAACCAGTCGTGAGCAAAGAATTATTTCATGGTAGGATTTGTTTTGTAAGAAAAAAGTAGCCAGCTGAAAGCAAGAAGGAGAAACATCATAAGCTTTCTACATAGTAATTTGACAAGAGGCAGAGTTTTCAGTTAATTGTTTAAACATTTTAAGCAGAATTGTCACAACATTCATCCCAGTAATTAAATGTTTTAAAATGGTAACTGCCTTGAAAATAGTAGGTTTAATGTTGGATTAAGTTAATATTTTTAATTTGTAAATTTTCTAACTGCAGAAACAATGTATGACCTTATGTAGGCTAGATTTTTGTTGGTACTCCAGGATGTCTACGTTGTGGGTGTTGTTTGATAGGGTATGATCAGATTCTGGGTAATACATTGCCGTTTATGCTAGTTCAGGATGAGTTAGTATCGGTTGGCAGTGAATTTTGAAAATCAGGCTAACAAGAACATCTCTGCCCTGTCCCACGATTGGAGAACTAGTTGTTCTTGAAGTTCTCTTTGTAAAAAGTTCATTGAAAAACTTTAAGCATCATGCTAAGTTTTACATTTGGTTCTTTTGAGGGCAATGAAGTGCATTTTGTCTCCGATGTGCCAAGTATCTTAGTTTACAAATTGATTAAAATTGTTTTATAGATTGCAAATGTTCGAAAAACAACTGAATCATTTGAAATCTTTGTGGGATCCTGACATGAAGGTGTAGGTATCTGCTGTTATATTGACAGGTGCAACAGTAACACTGATTAAAAGGTTCACATACAACAGTTTTTTAATGACAAGAAAACACTGTAAGTTTCTAACACTGACATATATACTCTAACCAACATAATCTTATCTGTTTCTACACAGGAAAAATCGCATACCATAGCCCCTCTGTTTCAGGAATTTGTTATGTCTTTCTGTGAAACTGCAGCAAGTGAACAGCATCCTGTAAATGTTTTGCGGTAGGTTTCTCAGGGGGTGGGAAAAAAGGTAAAACAATGAAGTATATTGTCAGTAAAGGGTTGCTCTATGCTTCAGGAACTTCAAAATTGATTTTTCCGCTCTGTGATGGTCTTTTAGCGATAGTTCCTAACTTGTTAGGTGATAATTAAGCAAACGGTATTAGTCATTTTAATGTCACTTTTGGTTAAACCTAACAGGATGCTTTCTCGCATGCTAAAACGAACAGTTTTGAGATGCCGTTACTGTTTACACACAAATGACCAAACATTGGTGCGCTGTATATGGAATAATTATTGCTTTGCTAGTTTTTTTATAGAATCCTCAGCTTAAAGTATTTTTTTAAATGCATAACGTGTATTTAAAACGATGACGAGGTACACATTATACGATAAATTTATTTAGCAGGGGTCTAGATCACTTTCAGTCTCTTTCAATTTCTTAAGATTCGCCTTTTTATAAGCCATTATTCTGCATTTAGGCCAATTTTTACAATTAGTTACACATGTTTCTGGAATTATGTGCATCTTTAGACTTTAGTATGTTATGCGAAAATCAGTTATGCACACTCATTGTTGTGATTCTCAGAGCTGGAGTTTGCAGTGATGGTTATTACCTGTGCTGGCTAATGCAAAATTCCTAACTTTTGGAATGTCAGTGCTGTTTATGGTCTTTTGGTTTGTCTCAGTAAAATTATATTGTTTTATATTATTGTAAAATAAGTTAAATAAGTGCCTGTGTGTGGCTCTGCCACCAATAAATAACCAGCTGGTCATGACATGGTAGTGGGCTGTTTTATGGATTCTTCTTGCAGGCAGTAAGTGATAAGACTGACTTTTAAGATAACTTTGGACATACGTCAGGGCTTTGGGAAAAATTGTGACAACGTTTGGTTCCTAGTTTGAACCTGTCTTGCATGGCAGAATACCTGTACAGGTACCTTTGCTAATTTGCTTCTTCTACCTTGTAGGGGTGGGTTACCCATTTATTATTTATATTTGTCCATATTTTAAAGAAATACAGGTTGGTTTCACTTGTCAAGAGTAGATATAGTCAAACCACTGGCCCAAATGTAGAAAGAGATTGCATAGGTGTGGAAAAGATCATGTTTTTTTTCCATTTTGAGGATTAGCTAAAATGCATTTTTAATTTAGAAATGAGAATCATATAACTTCAAAAGCCATCCTAATTTGTTAGTCCATTAGTTGTATTTTTAGGAATATTTTAAAAAAATCAATCTAAAAATGGACAGAATTACACACTGCCTTAACTTTTTTTTTCTTTTTAGCCATCTCCTCAATATCCCAGTGCAGAATAATTTCAGGGCACCTTGTATCAAACAAGAAGTTGGCAATTCGCTCAATAAGCAGATACCCTTCATGTGGCTTATCTATTGGTAAGTAAAATAATCTCTTACCAAATAACATTGCTCTTTGCAGTCTTGCAATTATATGTATTGGCAAATTATTTGAATCTTCTATCATTGTTGTTAATTAGCACCTGCATACTCTGGAAAAATTCATACAAACCTTTTTTTTTTTGGCACGCTTTCCCTATGCTTTCATTGGTTAACTTTAAATATGTTTCTTAAAACAGCTTGTGGCAGTCTGTTCATGCCAATGTAGGGGAAGCAGTAGACGCCTTTGAGAGGGCCCTGGGCACTGTAATGCAACATGATGTAGTGCAAAGACTGTGGCTGGAGTAAGTAAATAATCCTTTCATTAATATTTAGTCTGCTGAATCATCCTTAGCATATGTTCCACTCAGTAGTTAATAGTAGGTTTTCTTGTACTCAGGGATTAACTGACGTGTCCCCATTTTGCCTTGCTCTCCCTTAAACCCTTTTAGAATGGCATTTGGAAGCACTAGGGAATCTCTGTGCTTGGGTCTGGAACATTGCTAACAATGAAGCACTTAAGCATGCGCTATGACTTATTATCCTTCTCTGTTCACTTATTAGTCAAACTCTTTTGTTTTGCACATCTTTATTTGAGCCTAAAAAGAAACGGCATCTTTCCAGTCTTACAGAAGCTGTATTTGTGGTTTATCTGATTCAAATCTAACAGTGTTGTTCTCTTTCCAGTTATCTCCTTTTTACTAGTAGTAGACTCATTGGATCCAAATTTAAGAACCGAGACTTCAAAATGTTTACAGATCTCGTGCACCGGTGCCTGGTGACGGTTCCCACGAGATTTACTGTTCCTTTCAGCAGTGCAGATTACTGGACCAACTTCCAGTTCCACAATAAGGTAAAGAAACTCGTTGTGCTTCAGAGAGCATCTTTTCCATCATCTGCCGACCAGATGGCGAACAGAAGATAAGCCGTTGCATTACAAGTGGGAAGTCCTGTGTTTAAATTATTCTCCGGTAGTAGAATACTTTAGCTTTGTGTCCTACAATGTATTCTCTTAATGACTTGAAGGAAAACATCTTGTCAGTGTTTCTCTCGATCAAAACAGTCTTCTGATGCACAGCACTTGTGTATTGTGAAAATGTGTGCCTCTTATTGTGGAAACGACAGATTGTAATATTTTACCAAAGCAAGTCAAGCAAAACCAGCAACTACTGGAAGGCTCCAGAGTGGCTCAACCAGTGAAGGCGCTCATTCGGAGTGCAGTCTGAGCCCTATGTTCCAGATGTTGTTGGTTTCAGATGTGGGCTTCAAGTATGTCATTATCTGGCTGCAACCAAGATTCCCCAAGTAGCGGCTTGCAGTTGACTGTGCTTTGCTGGGGTTGGGTATGATTGAGACCCCTTTCATACTTATGTTTAGGATGGCCCTGGGCCATTGCAAAGCCACCTTTTCCCAAGTGTGAACAGTTTCAGAATAAAAAGGCTGGCTTAATGTATGTGTATATATATATATGAACGCATACATATAACTGGCCCTAGGCTACCTTTATGCATTGCTATTCCCATTGACTGCCATTTTTGAGCCACCTCAAATATGCCAGTGAACAAACATTGGACCTTCCAGCACAAGTCCTGTTGGAAAATAAATAGCTCTTTGAATTGACATGTTCAGCACGTACGTTTTTAATATTCAGTGGCTTTTCCATGGTTGCCTTTAGCAGTTTGGTAGTTGGGACATTTTGACGTTTTAAACGAGTGCCGGTCAGAACTACTTACTTTCCTAAATGTGTAATACTCTTATGTTCTAGAAAATAAAAGTACACTAGTTGGAAAGTGCTAGTATTCCAATTTACAAACCCTTTGTGTTGCGAAAGACTGAAGAGATGTTTTCTTGTAAAATCGTCTGTGTTCTACTGAATGCCTCTGGTCGTTGTGGAAACCCACATTGTTCAAAACCGACAAGTTTGTAGATTGGATGGGCTGTCGGTAAAAGCTGCACAACTGTATAACAAGTTTCCCCACCCAGTGGGACATCCAGAATTAGTTCCTAATATTTTAATATATCACTGCACATGATCACATTTGTTGTTCAGGTCACAACGTAACAATTCCTAATACTTTGTGTGTGGCACTTGGTATTAAGGTAAACAAGATGTCAAGTATTTCAAATTGTCAATGGACAGTTTGTCTTTGATCACATTAGTCAGCTTTGGATTAAAAAGGTTGCTTTTGTAAAAAGCAGTATCTTTTTTGGTACTTTACCTATTGAAATCTGCTATGTGTTTAAACATTTCTCAGTAATAGACTGGAGAAATTCAGACATAATACTGAGGTTTCTCAGGGGAATGTAAATCAGTCAAAATCAAGCTCTGTCAAAGCATGTAAATGAAAATGTCTGATGTAGGGTTTTAGTCCTATGTCAGCTTTCATTCCAACAGTATTGCATAAAATGAAATCTTGTCTCTTTTTGGCATTTCCCATGTAATATTTCCAACTTTACCTCAGATTTACGTGGCCGAAAATGAAGTATAGTTCTATATAGCTCCTCCAATGTATAAAACAAACCTGTCTGCTCTGGGCTCTGAGATTACCAGTAGGGGGGAAAAGTATACAAAAGTAGCCAATATATTGGCTGGGTGCAAACAGCTATGCGTTGGCCTTCGATTAAAGGAAGAATAGCCTTTGTGGCCCATTTCCTCGCGTTACAGGAAACTGTGTTTTAAGGAGTCCCATGTGCCGGTGATCCTGCCAGATAGACTGTAATCTCCTTAGATTAAATATCTCTTTTTATGATCTTCAGAAAGCAAAAGCTAACTGTGTCCTGCTGAGTTAGGTCCAGTTGTCATGTCAGTTGCTTGTCAGAGTTGAAGTTATAAATAAGAAATAATCCTATTTCGTTCTAGATATATTTGTTTGAAGTGCCCAGTTTGTCCTCTGAAAGATTTGCCATGTATTCCACAGGTTATATCCTTCTATCTGGACTGCCTTCCTCAGTCTCAGCAGTCCTCTGCCTTGGAAAGACTCAGATACATCATGCCAACAAATACTGAGCTGGCACTAAGGTACCAAAAACATACAAGATTAGCTGAACCAGTAATCCCAGTTTTCCATGCTGAATGTGATCTGAAATGGTTTTAATTCACATATGGGTATTTGATGTTCTACAGAAAACATAAGCATTGTGTCGTGGTGAGAATTGAAGGCTCTCCAGTCTCAGATCATTGAATCTCATTTCGGCTTTTTGGTTATATCTGCTTATTGTCCTTTTTCAGCTGTGTTTTCGAGCGCTTTGTTCGGTGCTTTGTTTTTTTGTAAATTGGCCTCTTCCCCTGACTGTCAGACAAATGTGAATGAAAAATTTCAAAGAAATAACTTGTTTTTCAGGATCATTTTGTAATGGCTGGAATATTAGTCTCTTTGTTATTGTCTAGGTTGCTGCGACAGGAATGGCGTGATGGCAATATTCAGCATCTAAAACTGCAGGCCAGAATGTTGACCACTAGCATTCCAAATTGTCTTGCAAACTGGAAAATGTAAGTCTCTTTATAGTGAAAACTTTTCCCTCAAGGTATAATGTGACTGTAATGATACGGTAGAATCTTTCTCAACAAAGGATGTTTTTGTTCTGAACTTCCTAATATCCTCCTTGCTTGATTTATGCTGACATCCTGTTTTGCCTTTATGTATCCTTAGAGCCATTGCTGTTGAGAATGAGCTAAAGGGGCGTGCAGAGGTAGGTTTATGAAAGTGGGCAGAGACAAATGATAGAGTTCAAATTACCTATAGTATCCTTTTTTATGACAAGTATTCATAGACCATTTTAGCCTCATCTTGCATGTGTTCTCTTTATTGAGATTTCCAGAGTTTTTTGTGCGTTTGTTAAATTTTCTTGTAATGTTTATACGGTGACAGTGAAAGCATACATACAAGGGGTTTCCAGCTCAGTTTCTAAGAGGACTAGTGTCTTTCACCTTAACTCTGTTACATAATCCTCAGAAATGAAATGGATCCACTCTCCTGCCTATTACCGTTGTCGTGAGAGTTATCGGTTTTCATTTAAAAATATGGTCCTTCTTGAAATTGACTATTTGGATGTTTAGAATCTAAATCTTCAAATACTCTAGTGTTCAATAGTGGGGGATTACTTGCCCGTCTCAATAATATCAATAAATATTGTCATTAATCTAGATCATGTATAATCAATGCGATGATCCTTTTTACCCCTCCTTTTGTGTTGTTCCAATTGTTGATGATCAAATGAAACAAATCTTTTGACTTTCACATGCATTGTATAGCCTAATATAGTTTTTGGTGCAGATGCTATTAATACAAATGTAATATCAACAATGAAATGCTTGCTTATGTTGGTGTTGGGGCGTTGCTTCAGCCATGTTATAAAGGAGTTCAGTTATCCCAGCATTGCACTGGCATGTCAATGTATAGTCCCAGCAAATGCCTTTATTATTATTTTTTCTTATGCCACCAACAAGTTGCCATCTTTGTTTTCTAGGTTTGCCACCTTTATCGCCAAGCTCTTCTAAAGCTGCCTCTCTGTGCCACGCTATGGAAAGATGTAATTTTTTTTCACTTCATGTTTATTGCTCTTTTTACGAACTATTCTCTGAATGGTTTTCATGCTGGATTGTATTACTGACAAGGTGCTTTTCTTTGTTTTCTCTTTGCAGCGGCTCCTTTACGAAGCTGCAGAAGGAGGTAAAACTGATAAGCTGAGAAAGCTTGTTGACAAGTGCCAAGAGATGGGAGTGAGTCTAGACGAGCCCTTAAATTTAGGCTCAAACAGAACAGAGGGAAAGGATCACTGAACAACTGGTACAGTTAGTCTTCCATCCCCAAAACCTAATGGCCAAATGAGATAATTCTCCAAGAAATAAAAAAAAAGTTTGCGAGAGGCAGACTTTGCAAGTTGTCAGTTCTCTCCAATACAGTATTCTTTCCTGATACCAGGGAACATTTGCAAATCAGATTCCGATCATTGAAGATATATGGACTCCTGAATGTCCAAATTCTGGGCCTCTTTTAAGACTCTCCTTGCATCATGTACGTAAGTATGGTTCTATAAAATGACAGATGTTTTTTTTTCTTTTAACTTATTTGTTCCTACTTTTTTTTTCGTACTGTCATTTTTTTAGTTGTTTTTTTTTTTACTTGAGGATCAAGTTAATGCCTGTGACATCTTTCTGTGGTGTTAATGTTTACATGTTTTTTAGGAAGGCAGAATGTCTCCTGATGATGTTTTGTCTCGATTCTTCAGAAAATCTTGAAAGGTTATTTCAGGTTTTATTTTACAACGTAATCTGCAGGTAAATGGACTGGCATATGAAGTAGCTGCCAGGGTGGCATTTTAATGGCCCCACAGTGGCCTTTCCACTTGTGAGACTCTGCTACAGACTGCTGACTGGTGAAAATGTAAGAGTCCACTATGAGATGCTCGGTGAAACCTTGATTCCGTGCACTCAAAAGCATCAGTACTCAAGGATGACTTTAATAAGTTTTATGTGCAATTTTGTTTTGTGAATTATAATTAAGGAGTCTAAGAACATTATCTCTAAACTGTTTTGTATAAAATACTACTTTGTAGTATTTCTATTTGAATGTGTTTATATTAAACTATTTTCAGTATATGATTATGAAAACATTTGTCTTGGCTTTTTTTCCCTCTTTGCTTTGCCCTTTTCACTGAACTAAATTTTCAAGGGTTCATACAGGGTTGTGATTATTTATAACTTGTTACCAAAGCCCAGAGTGATTTTAAGTTCCCTCATAAAGAAAGCTTAGTAAGCTTTGGACTAATAATGTCAAGAACTGTGGAAATTAAGGAGAAAATGCCAAACAAAACTGAGCCTTTTATTTTTCCCTCCCTTATTACTAGGGAATGAATTCATTGGAACTGTTGAATTGCAGTATGGGATATGTTAAGAAGACATTTAATCAATTTTATTTTACAACAACTAGATGTGCCATACAGGGCAAAGACCAGCATAGTTAATTTAAAAACATCTCTGGTCTGTAAACCATCTAATTGTTTTTCACAGTTAAATGTTTGAAAAATTCCTTTAAAAATTAACAGGAAATCAATTTACTTAGCAGTGATTTGATGAATAAAAAAACAGTTCCAGATTTGCTATTATTTTTCATTAAGTGTATGCAATACTTGTTTACTTTATTCACCACAAGGCAATGTGTTTATGTAGAATGGAATCATATTAAAGTTCTGTTCATTCTGTTCTTTGAAATAATGTTCAATGTGCATTTCCCACACATTCCACATCTACTATAAAATGCAAAGAAAACATCCAGTAGTCAAAACACCAGGGTGAAAGATTGAATCTTTTGCACTGCGAACAGTATTGATTTTCTGAAGTCATTTTATAAACAGTCCTTTTTATTATGGACACCTTTTCTGACCTGCTTTACAGGGAATCTTGTTTCAAATTGTTCAATTAGGGATGAAAAGTGTTTTGTCCATTTTTAACTTCAGTCCTCTCTAACATCCAGTTAAGGTTTAAAGTTTATTATGTAGTTACATATATAATCTAAAATGTATAACTCTCCAGTATCTCTCAATCTAATGATGGCAGACTTTTGTATAAAATATTTATTGGACACGCACAAGCACTGCCCAACATAACCTTATGTACACCGAACTTTGCACAAGTTTGGAAACTCTCCATACAGTGTGTTTGCACTTACAAGGTATTATGGTACTGTACTTCCAACATCCATTTTCTGACTGATTCATCCAGTTCAGAGTCATACTGTAATACAGAACTCACTAAATATGCTATACAATACCTCAGTAAAATTGTAATTCAAGCAAAGAGCTTTGCAAAAATATTACATGGAGGTTCCATATCCTAATTTCTAGTTATGGCTTGCTCTTCACATTGTTAAAATGCTATTCAGTTGCTACTAAAGGTAGCGGCAGAGAAACGGCAAAAATCATATTGATGTTTCCATGAAAATAATGCAAACTATTAATGTGAGCGCTGTTGTACAAAAAAAGCCTCCTTTATCATACAATACTTCTGAGTTGAAAGAGTGAATGTACAGTATAAGAGTGTAACATTGGGCAGGAATAGCTTAATAATAAATGCAAACATTTCTTAAGTTGGCAGTATCAAGCTTTAGTCCTCATGATTCTACCAGACCTTTAAATGTGAATAAATGAAAGTCCCATACTTCAGCTGCAACATTTTTTATGTACAATCCCTCTTAGTCACTGGAGTTATGTGAAATATCTTTTAATTTTAGCTGTTTCGCTGTTCTTTTCTTACAAGTGTTGAATTCTAGCATCCAGGGGACAATTGTAGTATTCTTATCCAAATATGGAACGGGCTTTGTCTGGAATATGTAATGAAATGTTTGTTGAAGGTAAGAGCAAGGAGATGAAATTGCTTTTCCAAGAAGGGATCACTGTAGTTGATGGGTTTTTGGACATGTAGGGGTGAAGATGTTTTGGAACCTACCAGTGAGAACTTTTAATCACCTGCACTTAGCTAAAGAAATATGTTAAAACATCTTGTCGGCATGAGGAGACTGAAGGAGCAACAAATGGACTTCCAGAAACACTTAGGAAGCATGAACAGATTTCTACTGGGGCCTGAGAACAGAATGGAATTCTGTAACATCTGATTGTTTAGGAAAGGCCTTCAAGGGTTCTTTTGTCTTGTAGCTTTTCTTCGCACCAGATGTTAGGTGTTTAATCTAAAATATTTGAAGGTCATTTACTAATCACGATATCCTTCGGGACCAGAGTTCCCATAACTCAACAAAGTATGTTTACTTGATCAATAAATTCTAGGTGTCCTAAATCTTGAGCAAGAGGCTCAGGGTACCCTATACTGCACTGAAGCTCTAGCACCAGATTTAGAGACTGCTATTTTAAAAGATGCAGGAGATTTAATCATTGATACCTGTTAAACATATACAGGCCTGGTAAGAGTTGTTAAAAATTGTCGCAAGACCCATCGGTTTCCAGAAATGAACTCCTCTGAGACAGGGAAAACATTCTTCAAAAACCAAAGGTCCATGAACCAACCCCTTGAGCACCAAAGTCATTTATCAGGACTGAACAGTGTGTAAATAAGGGATCAGTGTGTTGATTAAGGTAATGTTGAATGTTCATGTGGTCAGTGGTGTAAAGCTTTGCCAATTGCTGCTTTTAGGGTTGGTAAAACAAGTTTCAGCAGTGCCTCACTAGAAACCTTGAAAAGAGCATTCCTAATTAAGACCAAAAGTGTCATTCTAATTTCAAAAACACATCAGAACTGATCTACTTTACAAGCTCTCTGCATTTTCTAATAAACTTTTTATATTCAAGTTGTATACATCTCATACTATGGAAAAATAAGACATGTAGCAAAACATGTAACAGGTGTTGGCAAAGGAAAAACCTTATATGAACAAGTCCAGAGCTGGATGGATGTGGGAGCTGTTTGAGTGCTGCTGGACCAGGACTGGTATGATATTAATGCCCTGCTAATTTTATTGTGGAACCATTTTTTCCAGACAAAGAACTTATTAAATAAAACAGCTTAATATCATTTAATCATTTCTTTATGTGTGCCATGTTTCCGTTAGCACAACAAAACAATCAAAAGGTAATTTATTTTAGATTATAAAACTAAACTCAGAAATGAAGAAATTGTTTTATTTTTTTTTTGTTTTACAAAGAACATTCTGACTTGTTTAATGAATTTCAATAAAAAAAAAACTTGAGGCTGCAGATGGAATTGAAATGAAATTAAAATTGCATCTTCATAAAACAATCACATGCAAAATGAACTCAAAACATCAGAAGAACATTCTGGTGTCATTACGGTTTCTCAAAAACCACTGTTTTCCAGAATAGTCCTAAATAGTACCTCCGAGTCTGTTCTTTATAAGATTATGATCTGCATATTCATAATGTTAAACTTTTGTGTGGACTTTACTGTATACAGTATGTCTCTAGCTTGAGGCACAGACTTGTTAGGGATGGAATGTTCTCAGGGACAAAAAAAAGTAGAATCAGTATGTCAGGCATATTCTGCTACAGTAAAGATACAGAGCATAAAGTAAACATACGTTATGGATAAAATGATATATAACTAATATATATATATATTATTTAAATCTATTATTTGAATTTTGTTTTTTTGCTTTTTCATTTCAAATGGAGAATTTCCCTCTAAAAAAGTGAAATTAACATTGTCATTAACTTTTGCAGATCTCAACGTGTTCAAAAGAATAAGAATTCTGTTTGGGTTATTTCCCTTGAGTGTAGATTCCCAGCAACGATAACTGGGCCCCACAATCAGGTTCTCCTATCATTAACATCTTAATCTGTGGAGCAGAGTAAAGTGGTCCAGTTACACTTTAATTGACTATATTAGCTTTCTGCAAAAACGCACTGAAAACCTACGGACTACAGAGCCCAACAACCAGAATGGGAGGCTCCAATTCCAGTTTTAGGGAGCCTTCAAACTGGGTTCTTCTTGTTATCCATATATCGGTAAGAAAATGTCACATTCTCCTTTATTAATCGGATTACAGATCTTGATTAATAATTCACATAATTGTCCAATAAAGATGCTATAACTCTTGGACCAGGAATGGAGACTCCTTCTCTTTTGTTTACTATTACTTGAAGCTATTGTTTGACTAAGCATACTAAAGCAGCCCTACTCATTGCATAGTAATCCCTTTATCACTCTGTGGAATCACTAATTGGTCTGATTCACAAGCACCTCTCTGTGAATGATCATTTTCATCTCTAGAAAATGTTTATGACTCATGTGATTCTGTTCTATTTTGCTGCAGGCTTATTTACTTAATTTCACAGATGTGTGACTTTTTTGTCATTTTCAATCTTATGTTACTGTTCTTCATTGTTAGCGGGGTTGAATTACACTGCACCAAGGTTGCTATTGGCACAATTTAAACAACACAAAATATGGGACGTGATGAAAAGCAATATTGCAGAAAATTCTGTTTTCTTTTCTTTTCCGTGCTTATCGGCCATAAGCATGCTCAACATAAAAACAAACATATCACTGTTGATGCATGTATGTTTTTAGGAGACATCATGGATTTTGGATATTGGTTTAATGTTTTTGGCTTCATTGTAATGATTACTCATTAATGACTGTGACGCACTTAATTATATTTGACTATTGCACAAAGCCCTAAGTTAACTCATTAGGGAGAGCTGATTTGGCATAGTTGATGGGGTGATTTAATAATTTAAAAGCCAGGCCTGCTGAAAATCAAGAAAGAAAAACACAAAGGAACTAAGAACCAGTATTCTTCGATTATCAAGAAAAGAGTGCCTTTTTGCCACTGGCATGTTGGAGCCTGGGATAAGCCAGTGCACTGCCGCTTGTTGTCTGGGGTGTCCACTGCCAGAAATCACTAGCCTGACATGACACGGGAGAACATGTGTCTTAGCAAGTTGCCAAGATCGATGAGGAGTGCCAAGTGTGACGGTCTGGGTGGGGGAATACATTTGCTACAGAACTCCACTTGTCGCGATTAATCAAACTGCCTGATACTAGATTAGTCAAGTTCTGCGTGCTCACTCTCTGCTGTACCTGTAGTCTTCCTGAACTCACAACATTCCAGCAGGAAAACACGCGTCCTTATGATGCAATTT